TGCTTTCAGCTTGAGTTAGCCAGTGGGAACAGGCAGACACACTGTACCAGACTCATTTTCCCACTTTACATAGGCTACATGAAAATCACTGTTCCACAAACTGGGCGAAGGCCGAGAGATTGAAATAGAAGACAAGACAGCAGTCATTGATGTGATTCATGCAGCTGGAATGCTGAATGCTGTTTGTTGAGGGGAAGGAGCGGGCTTATACACTGACTCACAGCACAGCGGAAAACAATCAGGGGTCAAGCGTGCAGCTCTCGGGCTCAGTTCCTCCCCAGCAGATGTGTGTTAGCAAATCAAGAAGAGAACCAAGAACTACTCTGGGGCAAGATTTCCAGCCAGCAGCTCCAGGCTTGCTCAGGGTGCCTCGGGGGTCCACGCAGGGCCCTAAAGTGAGCGAGTTCAATTAAACCTACAGTTCTGTGCGGCTTTGTGGAGGGCACATTGTAGAGTTTATTTTTGACCATGAAATAAACAAAAGAAGGAAGGTAAATTGAAGTTGTCATTCTCACTGGTAAGGCCTTGATTCTCTGAAGAAAGAAGAGCAAGCGTCAGCAAGAGCTGCCTCAGATGCTAGCTGGGTGGCTGGTGAGTGTGATGTAGCATCCAGGTACTGAACTTGCCAAGGGCTCTGCCCCATCTGGAGAAAAGGGATAAAACGTCAACCTGTGATGCAAAACTGGTCTGTACAAACGGAGGCGAGGAAAGTAATGTCTATGTCCATACTTTGGAACAAAACAGCTTGCTTTTTTTTTAATTTTCACCCATTTATTTATTTTCGATTAATGTTTTCATTTTAAGAAAGAAGAATTGTATTTGAAGATGATAGATGTAATTTTTTTTCTAAAGTTAAAAACTGAAGTTAATTGTACAAGTTAAGTGAAACTGGCATGTTGATCTTTCAGGTCAAAGTTGTGTGTGTTCAGTTAGATCAGTTAGAACAGATTAAATAGCCCAAATTTGAATGTTTCTCTTTGAAGAATCCTCAGAGCAGTCAAATCAGTCCAGCTATAAACTATGTTTGAGAGAATGGAAGGGACTAGTCACTGAAACTCATGTCTGTTGAAGTTGTCTGCTTTATGGACTTCAGAGTGGAAAAATGACCACTTGCTTATTTAGAGTTAGCATGACACAATGTGGAATTGTATAACAAATCTCTATGATGGACAAGGTATTAAAATTAAGATCTATGCTGATTAGCTCTTGGACACAATAAAAATTTCATTGAGGGAATGAATACAAAAATTCCATCAATGTGTTTTAGTTACAACCATAAGCTTCAGCATGTTTCCTGTGTGTGTGTGTGTGTGTGTGTGTGTGTGTATACATGCATGTGCATGCATGCACACAAGCACACTCATGCATGAGAACAAGAGCAAGAGTGTACTCACTTGTAAGGACACCTGTGGTGGCCAGAGGTTGGTATAAGGGTTGTCTTCCTCAGTTACTTTCCCCCTTTACCGTTTTGAATCAGCCTCTCTCCCATTTTGGCTTGCCTGGCAGGCCCTCCGGTACAGGGTCCAACAGTCTCTGGCCTCCAGCCCTGAGCATGTAGCTGCATGCTATCATCTACACAGTAGGCTTTCAGCATGCATGCTTGGGATGTGACCTAGGTTTTCTAAGCTAGTGAGCAAGCACTCTAACACTCAGCTATCTACCCAACCCCAGAAGCTTACATTTTGAAATTATGGTGTGTAGACGTTTTCTCGCTAATGACTTTCCCGGAGTTTAAATTTTGCAAGAATGTATTAAAATGCATATCTCCCTTCTACAGCTACTTACATGTCACTTCTGGACAAAATTGTGGAGTGTTTAATTTTAAAGTTACTAAATGAATCATTAGTTTCCAATGAACTCTGACAAGAGAAATAAACAGTGACAAAAAAATAAATAATAATTCTCCTTCCCAGCAAAATAAAGAAAGTAACAAAGTGAAAAGGTAACAGTACTCTTAGTATTAGAGTCCTAAAATGCACTAGGCTGTTTTTTTGTTTGTTTGTTTTGATAATTTTTAATTTAAATTTGAAACAAGCTTGTTTTACATGTCAATCCCAGTTCCATCACCCTCCTGTCCTTCCTCCCCCCCCCCCCACAACACCAACCTCCATCCCATCCCCTTTCTGCTCCCCAGGGAGGGTGAGGCCTTCCTTGGGGAGTTTTCAAAGTCTGTCATATCATTTGTGGTAGGGCCCAAGCCTCCCCCATGTGTCTAGGCTGAGAAAGTATCCCTCTATGTGGAATGGGCTCCCTAAGTCCATTCGTGCACTAGGGATAAATACTGATCCACTACCAGAGGCCCCATAGACTGCCCAGGCCTCCTAACTGAGACCCACATTAAGGGGGTCTGGGTTGGTCCTATGCTGTTTTCCCAGCTATCAGATTGGGTCCATGAGCTCACCCTTGTTCAGGTCAGCTGTCTCTGTTGGTTTCTCCAGCCTGGTCTTGACCCCTTTGCTCATCACTACTCTCTCTCTGTAACTGGATTCCAGCTCAGTGTTTAGCTGTGGGTGTCTGCTTTTGCTTCCATCAGCTACTAGATGAAGGCTCTAGGATGGTATATAAGTTAGTCATTATTCTCATTATCAGGGAAGGGCATTTAAGGTAGCCTCTCCACTATTGCTCAGATTGTTAAATGGGGTCATCCTTGTAGATCCCTGAACATTTCCCTAGTGCCAGATTTCTCTTTAAACCTGTAATGGCTCCCTCTATTAAGGTATCTCTTTTCTTGTTCTCCTCTATTCTTTCCCTGACTCATTCTTCCTGCTCCCTCATGCTCTCCTCTCCCCTCCTCTTCTCCTCCTCTTCCTCCTAACTCCCTCTCCCCTTCTCCCTCCCAATTTTCTTAGGAGATCTTGTCCCTTTCCCCTTTTCCAGGGGACCATGTATGTCTCTCTTAGGGTCCTCCTTGTTTCCTAGATTCTCTGGCAGTGTGGGTTGTAGGCTGGTGATCCTTTGTTCTATGTCTAAAATCCACATATGAGTGAGTACATACCATGTTTGTCTTTTTGTGACTGGGTTACCTCACTCAGGATGGTATCTTCTAGTTACATTTATTTGCCTGAGAATTTCAAGATTCCATTTTTTTTTTGTTGTTTTGTTTTGATTTTTTTCCACTGAGTAGTACTCTATTGTGCAAATATACTACATTTTCACCATTCATTCTTCAGTTGAGGGGCATTTAGGTTGCCTCCAGGTTCTGTCTATTACAAATAATGCTGCTATGAACATAGTTGAACAGATGTCTTTGTTGCATGGATGTGGATCATTTGGGTATATGCCTAAGAGGGGGATTGCCGGGTGTTGTGGTAAATTAATTCCCATTTTCCTGAGGAACCGCTATACTGATTTCAAAAGTGGCTGTATCAGTTTGCACTCCCACCAGCAGTGGAGGAGTGTTCCCCTTTCTCCACATCCTCTCCAGCATAAGTTGTCACTGGTGTTTCTGATTTTAGCCATTCTGACAGGAGTAAGATGGTATATCAGAGTTGTAGTGATTTGCATTTCCCTGATGGGAATGTTGAGCACTTCCTTAAGTTTCTTTCAGGCATTTTAGGTTCCTCTGTTGAGAATTAGGCTTTTTCAAAAGTAGGAACATTTTACTTGTTTTTTGGTTTTGTCCTTACATGGTCTTAGAATTAATAATTCCAAGGATTAGCTTAGGCAAAGCCAAAGAGATGACTTTGTATCCCATATAAAAAAAAATTTCAGCTAAGAATCAGACAGACTTCTACCCTCAAGTGCATGGGTGTTTTCACTTGGCATACATTCTCATAGAGCATCCTCGGAGCCACTATTTGCCATTTCCTTGATCACACCATCCCATTTTCAAAGGACAATTGCTCCTAGCTTGCTTTATACATTAATAACAATTGCTATGGCTCTATTTTCTAAGTATTTATTTTGTGTGTTTGAAATTATAGCCTCGAGAGTAAAACCTGCATTTTTAAGCACAACACCCACATTTGGAGGATGTTACCTGCAGTTGAAATCTCTGAAGAAACACTTTACTTGTAAATAATTTTATACATTACTAAAGTCCTACAAATGTTTTGTAAGTGGAAGAGATCCATTTTTTTTTTTTTTTTATCAGTCCTCCATATTCTTGGTAAAAGCTTAACCCAAACCCTTGAGCAAAATTTAGATCAGGCCTCACACACTGTTTTCCCAGAGTTCAGAGTAATATAGCTCTTGATGGAGCTGCAAATGGGTTGTTACATAAACAGTTGTAGAACTGTGTCCTAGTAGAGATCACTGAAGATGTAGACGTTAATGCTCTTTGTACTCTGATACCACTCACAGATAAGGGCAGACGCCAGCCTCAATCATGTCCCTGGACATTCTCCAGCATCAGAACTGCCTACTTCTATGATATTGTCCAGTGAAAAGCAGCAAACACTTCCTTAGGGGACACTGAGGTATGGAAGTCTGAAGGACTAGATAGAGATGCCAAAGCCTACCTTATTGCCTTCTGATGCTTGCCGTTGATAGTTCTTTGTTTTTCTCACCAATAAGTAAGACAAGAAAACTAATATCCCTTTGAAGAAGAAACTGTCAGTTCTACCTCCCCACTCCTCTAAGAACAGGTGCAAGCAGCTGTACCCTCGTATAAGGATTAATGGCCAGTTTTGTGTGATACACTACATAATTAGAACAAAAAAAATATAACGTGAGCTGTATAGACACTGCTGGTATGTGGTTAAGCCACTTTGAAGAAGCCAGACAAGGGATGTACCATAAACAGCAAACCAAATTAAAGGCTGCAAAAACTTAATGTGATCAGATGATGCAAGATTCACCAAAGGTGCTGTTTCCACTACACCTGAAAATTAATATTGAAGAGTCTTTAGATCTCAAACTTCATATACTTTCATATAACAAACTTCAGTTCTTTTAAAGAATTGGGGGCCAGTAAAAGTGTTTTGAATGCATTAAATTTTAATAGGCACATATGTATTTTGCATATGAGCATGCAACACATTTCATATAAACAAGGAAGGTAATAGTTGAAAATTTTATTGTGGTTATCAATGTTGTTTCTTGGTAAGAGTAAGCTAAACATTTACAGAGTTCAAAATAAATGCACTGTAATGAAAGCCAAAGATGGCTTTAAGCATAGGAAATATGCATATTCAATTTTATGTTTCTCATGAATACTGAATTTCATAAGATACCTGTATGAGGTCTCACATGTAAATGATCAGCACAAACAAATTTTCATGCTCCTGTTTTTATTTTATGTGTTTTTAGCATATACTGCATTTGCTTAAGGGCAATGTATTAGGTTCAGTCATAACATGTATAAATATGATTGAAAGTGTCAAGTAGTAATTTCATTTATTGTGTAGACAACAGCCCATTTACGAAGTCCTATTTCTTAACGTGTATACAGAATTAGGCTCTCTCGAGATTTTTATGTTTGATTAAATATGCATTAATAGATAATGATGAAATGACAGTATGTGGAGCATAAACTCTCAAATGTTAATTTAATTAACCTTCCTGCAGCAGCTATGCACACCCTCAGCACTCTTATGTATGTAACTCCAGAGATAGCATTCTAAACTACAAGATCATCAGTAGGACAAGGAGGACATCTTGAGGTCATTTCAGAAATACACACAATGGTATTATTATAACTGAGCCCACACTCAGTTGGTGATTAAAAAAAAAAAATGGATCCTTCAAGCAAATTAATGGTTTCGATATAAAATGTATAGTTTCTTCAGGGGGGAAAAAAAGGCAATGCTTCTCAAGAGCGTTTAGAATGGCTTGAAATCACACACACACACACACACACACACACCCTGAGTCACTCACCCTGTCACACATGCACGCACACCTTCACTCACACTCCCATACTCTCTCACACATACACACACCATGCACACTCACTCACAAACACACACACAGGCACACACACACACTCTTGCTGATTGATAGATACATTTTTAAAATAAGCATAAAACTGTACAAAACATTTTGACAAAACTTAAATATTTCCCTGCAGTGGTAAGGCTGGACGGACACAGGTTCCCACGGAACGTTGCACAGCCATTTTCTTCCACTGGTTCGAGAAAAATAGAAACAACTAATTTGAGATGTCTGAGTTGTCCCGCTCGAGCCCTCTCCTATGAACTCTGGGTCAGGGCTGGGCTGGAAGGGCCATTGGCAGAAAGTTCTGGCTCCTCAGTGCCACTGGGGGGCTCAGCAGGTCCCGCAGCTCTGCTGTCTTCCTGAATCTTATTCAGGGTATCAGCCGGATGGACACAGTTAGCGCCCTGCTTGGCTCCGTCCACTTCGTTATGAAATTCAATTATGTCTTGGCTGTTGTCTCTCTTCACTTGCCCATTCTGGGCAGGGTAGGCGCTGGCAATCGTGTCGTAGAGGAACTGGTATTGCTCCTGGTGAAAGAAAGCATCGAAACTTGCATGGAGGAAGTTCTTACGTGCAGAAGGGATGCGCACCCACTAACCACCTCACCTCCTTTTAAAAGTCTAGACAACAGGAAGTGCACTCGATGTTTACCAATGCCAGCAGGAATCACGTTGTTCAAGAAGCTTGCTCAGCTCCCCACAAATTAAAGCCAAGTGCCCCATTCACCGTCTTACACCGTCTGTGTAAATCCAGTTATTTTATTATTCAGTGCCTATCTGCCTTTGTTCCTTTAGAGCATTAGATGCATTTCTCAGGCGTTCAAATACTTTTTTTTTTTTTTTTAAAAATCAATTCACATGTACATGAAAGCTTCGTATATTTTCATGAGAAATTATATCAAGAATAATTTCTAAATTTCTGGTGTTCAACACCGGTTACTACTGTAGACAGAGGATACTCTGATTGCATAAAAGTAACACATACTGCTTCCCATTGTATAGACAACGATTTGCCATGCGAACTACAGGCCTCTCGATTCTGGGCTGGCCTCAAGGTTATATTGGTTGGAAACCATATTGTGACAGTTCTAGGCCCATTCTCTTAATGTACTGCCAATTTATAAGCTTGGGCTAGCCTTGTGCACGTAGCCACTGGCTACTCACTCCTGCAGCCAAAGGTAAATGACAGTCACTTGACAATTCACTGGCAGCAGAGATTATTTTAGGCCAGCCAGACCTAAGTGGCTAGCCACAGCAATTGAGGGCAGACATACGAACCTGGGTCTCATTGGCTAACCCTGGAGATCAATCAATAGAATGTCTCTGAAATGCCTGATGTTGTTGAAGTCACTAAATTTGGGGCTGGTTTGTTATACAACAAGAGTAGCTGATAATTGTCTAAAGGGAAAAGGAAAGAATGAATGGGCACTTAAGGATGTAACAATGTAGCCTGTCACAAGTTGCTGACAAACTCTAAGAAGGTCTTATCTCCATTGACTGTCCTGCCTTGAGATTCAGGATGTGAAGATGAATGGGAAAACAGAAAAGAAAATAGAAGGGGAGAAAACTCGAAGACAGGAGAGGGAAGCCCGTAGCACCCGCAGGTGACTTGGATGTGACATCGAGGCACACTTACGTAGGTGGACACCATCCCTGGTCGGGCTTTGCGTAGAGATTTTACCACTTGAAAAACATCAACTACTTCTTCTGTTTCTGCACTTTCCAAGAGATTGAACAAAGCACAAAACAGCCCTGTCTGCTGGGACCCGTCTCTGCCAAAAGAACAAGAGAGTTTTTTCTAAAAAAAAAAACGGAAAATTAAATAATCCAGCTTTTATTGCAAAAATGCTACTCGAATATACCCTGAGAGGTGGGGGATGTGTTTTTATTTCACATCTACTGGAGGAATCTTTCTCTAATTTTTTTTTTAAGGGCCAAATTCGTTTCTGTGAATGCACTCGGGTACAGACTTTTCCAATACATGACTGTGATGCTGATTCTGTGGCTTCATGAGACATAGATTTGACATTAAAAATATACTTTCTTCCGTTTAGTGCTTTGTGTCTTTAAATCCATTTTTAGCAATGTCTTACTTAGGCTGTTAAAACTAATACAACAAGGTCAATTTGATAGGAGAGGGAACCACGATTTCAGGAAGCATCCAAGCATGATCAGAAACAAATTAAGCCCGAGTACTGGCCCTACATTGACTCCGTTCTCTGCTTCTCCTGGCACCTTTTACAGTGCTCAGCTTCTACATCAGTGGTGAAACCATGTTTGACAAGGACAAACCACAGAAGGAGAATGAATAAAGGGTAGAAAACATAACACAGCTTCATTTCAGACCTCACGTAATCAATAGGTACTCGGTATTAATACTTCACTAAGAAACGTACGGCGGCATCCTGACAGTACAGTCAAGCCTCAACTTCTGTGCTTACATTCTCTTTCTACATAAATTTGACTTCAAAACGCACCTAATCTTGAGAAACAGTATGCAAACGAGAGCTTGTGTCTGTGATGCCAGTAATGAGGATTTTCACAATTGGTAAAAAGCATTTCACCTGATTTACGGTATTGGTCGTGCATTGGGATTGCTTTTAATTCCTCACTTATTTTGCTATTCTGCCCCTGTAAAGGTTTCCTGTTATGCAGCTTTTCCAACTGTCTCGAGGACGGGATGTAGCTGTCTGCTGCAGGTGACACTTAAGTGTCTGCACAGGAGGAAATAATGTGTTTAAATATTATTGTTTGCACGAGTGCTTTTGAGGGTCATCACAGAAATGGGTTTAAGGTCAAGTTGCCAAGCCCTGAAATTCCAGTTCATGTTTAAATTAAGGGCACATGGGAAGCTCAGCAGACGGAGGAGCTTGTACTCAGTTCTGGTGACCTGAGTCGATTATTCGACCCCACAAAGTGACAGGAGGAAAGTGGTTCCCACAGCTGTCCTCTGATCTCCTCATACATGACATGGGCTGTTCACACACACACATCACACACACATACACACACACACCACATATACACACCACATATACATATACACACCACATACACACACACGACATACACGCACACACCACACACGTACACACACACATACAGCACACACACATACTCACATACACACCACATACACACACATACCATACACACACACCACATACACACAGACACACATACATACCACACACACACACACACACACGCACTCGTGAACGCACATATGCCTGTGTGAGCTTATGCGCAGACACACATGCACAAACATGCAATTTTGTAAACGTTTAAAAATAAATAGCTTAAAGTATGTTTACTGGGAACATCATTCAGCTCTCATGTTCTGTAATATCCAGCAGACTAAATGCAATGCACATAATTCTGTGCATAATGAAATCTACTGGCCGGTCCACTCACACATTTCTCTGTCAATCACCTGTTCATTTACCACATCCAAGACTCCAGGTCTAATGCTAGGTAGGGTGGAGAGCCAAAGATTACATTAAATGATAGTACACAGCTACCAGCCTAAAGTTAGTGCTTTTATAACCTGAATTGTTTAGATTCCTATTGTAGCTGCGGTACAGGTGAACAACATGAGCGTGGATTGCTTCCTGCGGATCGTCACAGGTTCTACACATCAGGAGAACAGAACTCAACGGAGACGGAGAAGCCTGACAACGTTAGGGTACACCCCATCAGCGCCCCGACCTGCAGTGGACGAGGACCGGCGCGTGCTTGTGATACTTCATCCCTTCGGGGCAGCTCTTGGGAAGCTTCTGTTTCAGGTTCTGAATCATAGACACCAGGTCTTTGGGCTCTGCAGGAAGCTCTTCCCCACTCCACATGGTACACTGGTACTGGTACACAGTTCTGGGCTCCTTCCTCTGCAATCAGAGGTGGAGGGGACATAAACACAAAGTAAGTTCAGTCTGCTTTGTCCCTTGACAGCTGGTTTTCCTTCACAGTTATTTTCATTCAGATAACTTACAGTTTTTATTCAGAAGCCTTATACAGGCAGTGGCCTTGATGGCGTAAATGAATTTATGTTGGTTTGCTATCAGATTAATTGCACCGTGAGTAAATATTTCCAGAAGTGTTTGCCTACCTTAGAATGTCTCAGCTCAAAGGTACGGAGAGTGTAGGCTGAGGATTTGCTGCTGTCCCTGGTTACCACCTCCATGTCTCCGTAAGTCTGCTTTCCTTCTGCCCAGTACTGAGCGCAGACTTCCTAGATCAAGAAGAACATTTCTTACCAGATTCTACACAGATATTTGGCATGCTATTTAAAGCATTCAGATCCCCATCTCTCTCCTTACCTTTTTTTTTTTTTTTTTTTTCATTTACTAAATGGAAACCATTGCATTCTAAAAACTGAAACCTTTTTACACATCTAAAATCTACTTCAAACACACTGAAGGTCTTTTTACTGCATGGTGTTTGCTTGTGAACCATCCAGGTAATCCAAGGCTAGCTTTACCAACTCAGGAAGAGGTAGGTGTTCAGGATTTGTCCCACTTTTTAAACCCCGATTATCCAACCTCTTCAAAATTCTATGGAGTGTGCTGATGTCAGCTGCCACCCTTCTGACAACTTGGGCGTCTCCTCCACTTGTCCTTGAGAACGGTTTGTGTTGCGCCAAAGACTTCACCCAGACTCTATGAGAAGCTACGCTGAGGTAGCATCTAAGCAAACGGAACCACAGGTGTCTACAAATTAGCATCCCACAATTGCTGAGGACGCATAGAACCATTGGCAGGAGACGAAGGTAGAGGGATGGAGCTGGAGATAGAGAGACATGAAGAAGCAGAGAGATGAAAATCAGAGACAGAAGAGAGAGCAAGGGGAACCGAGCAGACAGGATCTGTAGAGGAGAGAGGTAGGAGACGAGACGGGGAAAACGGACAGTAATGGATCATGGTGCCTGCTTATGAGGGTTTTCACTAAATAAGCCTCACCATGTGGTAGGGCTAAACTGGTATTAAATGATCTACCATTGAGGAGTTTTAATGGTATCTCCAGGTACTAAGGGAAACGCACGCCCAACATATGTCACATGGATTAAGTAAAAAGTAAAAGTACATGGTAAGTTCAAATCCAATTACAGAATCTTATGGCAACACTATCACATGGGAGTAGAGGAGGAAGGATGTAGCTGAAGATTTCAAAAAGTTTTGTCTTTCTAGAAGAGGGGCAGGGGAGGGTCTCTTAGGTACAAAGGATGCCAGATGGAGGCTGAAAGCTCTGTACATAAATGTTCAGAGCGGAGACTGGGTTTTGCCATACAAATATAGGACAGGTGCAGAGAGGCATAACCTTCCACCGTGTAAGTCCCTCTCACCCCTAGTTCCGGGATGGAGTGAGTGTCAGAGCCCAGACATAAGATAGGGACACAGACGAGGCTGACTATGTCACAGAGGTGGGAAAACATGGAGGGCACAGCGATAAACAAGGGATCCAAGAATGGAAAATGGCACGTCACGGCGAAGGGTATTCGGGCACCCCGTTCTCCAAAGCACAAACCTGGTCTCCACTGGCTAACTCTGTCAACATCACAATAACCTTGACCTTTCTCTGGAATATCATCTGCCAGAAGTCCCCAACGGTCTCTTTTAGTGGTCCCTGAGCAGCAATCATCATTTCTGGTTTCCAGTAACTCTAAAAAAAAAAAAAAAAAAAAAAAAAAATCACAAATTTGGGAATTTGTTAGTGTTGCTATCAAAAAAAAAAAAAAAAAATGATAGCAACAGACTCTTGAACACCTTTGAGAAAATAGATGATTTAGGACCACTGCCATTAATAGACAAAGTTATGATTCTCAAGTCCAAGGAAACAATGCAGTATCTGTTCGTAAAATGGTTAATTCGCAACCAATAAAGTGAAATTACAGTTACAACGTGCAATGTTACCTTTCGAAATGAACTTTTCTTATAAAAAATATTTTTCTTATTTTACTTATTTTAATTGTGAAATGAATTAACATAAGCGTTTAAAATTATCCTCATCATCTATTTTAACTTGTGACATAGCATACTATAATATGACACAGCATAATTACGCTAATACTCACTAAAATGTAAGTTGCAGGAAGAGCTAGAGAAGAAATAAATCCAACTGAATACTTAAGTCTTTCCGAATCCCCTACTTTTTTTTTTTTTTTTTTTTTTTTTTTTTTTTTTTTTTTTTTTTTTTTGGCTCACTTGTTGTTATTTTCTAAATATACTCATCTGAGAGACTTTCAAAATGCTGACACATCTCTGTCAAGGCTAATAAGACCAGTGCTGGGGTGATCCCAATATTATTAACTAATTCTAGTTATCTGAGTGAAAGGCTTTTCACTGCACCATCACACAAATTCAGTTTTGCTGAATTGAATAACTGATGCTTTCTAATAGTTGGATTTATTCTAATTTTCTTTTAAAAACTAGTATGTTATTATGTTTAACATAAAATATGAGCAATAGCGTGTCCTTGTTGGGAACCATTGATAAAGTCTCAACTCTTTTACTTAGTTTGATAAGTGAAAGCTTTGTACCTCTGAATATGATGAGATCATTCACTGAACTTATCGGGTATGCATAATATTCCCCAAAAAATGGACCTACCAACACAGACAAGATCTCCAAAGGTTTGGAAGTGTAGATACCTACCATCACGAATGAGGCATTGATGTATTTGCTGGTCTCCTCCGAGTCACTGTCATCATCAGAAGATGCCTCTGAGTCAGGCTCACTCTCTTTGCTCATCTCCAGCTCATGCTTAAGAGTCACTCTGTTAAAGTCATCTGTGTAAAAACAGAGAGTAGCAGCCGGGTGTTGGTGGTGCTCGCCTTTAATCCCAGCACTCAAGAGGCAGAGGCAAAGGCAGGTGGATCTCTGTGAGTTCGAGGCCAGCCTGGTCTACAGAGCGAGTTCCAGGACAGGCTCCAAAGCTACAGGGAAACCCTGTCTCAAAACACCAAAAAAATCAAATAAACAAACAAAAAACAAGCTTTCCCAGAAAAGTAAGCAGGGCTGAGGATTGAGCTCACCTACAGAGAATGCTCTGGGCGCGAACACATTCCAGGACAAAATAAAAAATGCAAATGAAAGTAATTAGATTTATGAGTGATGGATACGTAGAAATGAAAAGGAAGTTCAGGATTAAATGTGCTAGTCTAATGGTGATAAGAGTCTAATCATTAAGTCATTCAACACTTAATGATAAAAATTAGTTTTGGAAGTCAAAAAACAAAAAACAAAAAAAAAAAAAAGAAAAGAAAAAAAGAAGAAAGTACCCAAAGAAACAGGGGTCATAAAAAGTAGCATTATTATCATCATTACGCTCCAAATGATTGCTCACTGTTTGGTACGCACACCTTAGTTATTTGTGGGCTATCACTGTCCTGGTTAATATGCCTTAAAATTCATATCTTGGATTTTTGTTTTCAGTGTTATTTAATTAACATTAAATTAATGATTTCTGCTAACTACATTCTTCAGGTTAATTACTATTTAATCTAATTTTATTTGGTGCTGAAGTATTCCTTGTTTCTTGACATTTTAAATGAGTAAAAACTCAGCGGATGAAATATTTACCAACATTACTATCAATCCCATATTTTAACCGAATCAACAAGGACTTCTGCCGAAATTAACCTGGTCAGCCATCCACTGACTTGATTCATCTGGTTGCCTTGTTTATTAGCTTGGCTTATATTTTACCCGTGCTAATTTTGGTATAGACAGCTGGATGCAATCAAAGCAGCACCAGGTGTGATCCTGTCAATAAGCTTAAGTAGAATTAAAGCTTTAAAAAGTTGTTCACGTTTCAATGTGGTAAACTTCGTGACTGACAATGTATTGAACGTTCCCACCTCCCCCCAACCTCTCAGGCATCAGTGGCAAGAGAGCAAATGTCTGTAAGAACCCCTGCGATTTGGTGATTACCTTGAAATATACTAAAGATAGGATAAAACTAACAAAGGAGACCAAGCTTTTCCTTGCTCCAGATCAGGGGCTTCAACTTCTTATAACCTATTCCTGTTTTATTGTTTTTTTTTCAAATGTGCATGGGGTTCAGGGGATGAAAACACACCAAATACTGTTCGTCTTCAGATGCTCACTGAAAATATTAGGATCCAAATAATCTGCTAAAACCAAATTTTAGATAACCCACAAACCTCTTTTCAATTAACAATCAAGTACAAGTCTTACATTAAGTAAGTTCCAACATGGCTTAACTTTATCCGACACAAGATATAAAAGTAAACTACATACATGGAACAACATTAGAATTCCTGTTTTTCTTTTTATTTTCATCTTGATTTCCAATGTGCTGTGTCCTCCAACTCCTATATGAGGGAAGTCTCTAGGAAAAACAAACAATAATCTTCCTTTAAAATCTGAATATTTCCTTAATTGTTGTAGCCTAGACCTCACCTAAAGAGAAGAACTTCGTCAATGCCTGTGAAATTTATGTAACTCCCCATGGGTGACAGTTTTTAAATTTGACTCTGAAGCTTTCTTTTTTTTTTGCTCACACATTTAGCGGCTTTGACATGTCGAACTGAGACCGAAAAATGTCATTTGTACATAATAGAGTTTGCTTCTTAGTTAAGAGCTGATTGACAGCAATGTAGTATGGCTTGTCTTACATCAGACAAAACCACAAAATACATATTTTCATTATTATCCATCGTGAAACAGGAAATTATTTTAAATGAACAGGTCTGGGTCAACAAGAGAGATAACCAAAGGATGTAAGACCCCATCCATTGGGAGACAGAGCAAGGATACAACAATTTGAACCCATTTGAAAAGAGAATGTTTGAACATAGACAGTTTTCATAGCACTGTTTCTCAGCTACGCTCTCCAGGGAAGTATTTTCCAAATCTCAGCCATGAAGCACACAGAGGTGGTTATAGCTGAAATCTGAGAGGTCCAGGATGGATCTCTAGCTGGCAAAGGGACTTGGCATTGTCTCTGTGACGCTGTGTTTTCAGACTTGCAAAGATGCGGATGTTATAGAATTCTTCAACAAGGTTCCAAGAGGCGACCAAGGTCATCTAATGTGAAGCAGGGCTATAGCCGATGCTCTGCATGGAACTCTGGAGTGATCTGGGTGTGAAGCTGTTAGGGTAAAACCTAAGTTGCAATGGAGACTTCAGGATATTGATGATGCCTGAAACATGGGCCATTTTCCAAGTAGGATGGTAGTTAGAGGGTCTATGATCCAACCCTGAGAGCAGCCTCTCACATCCTGCCTTTTCTCCTCTCCTCCATAATGAACTAAGCCATCAAACCATGAGCCAGACTAACCCTTTCCTCCCTTCCTCCCGCTTACTTTGTCTAAACTGATTTTGTTTGTTTGTTTGTTTGTTTGTTTGTTTGTTTGTTTTCAAGACAGGGTGTCTCTGTGTAGCTTTGTAGACCAGGCTTTGTCACCAGTCTCTACATTTTGTCTGCTTGGATGGAGTAGTGTCTCCAGGTCTCTCCCAGACCTCTCCAATGTCCGCTTGAAAAGCACTTTTACTCAAGTGCCTACAGGGGCTGGAGAGATGGCTTAAAGGTTAAGAACACTAGCTGCTCTTCCAGAGATCCTGACTTTAACTCCCACGAAGCACATGGTGGCTCACAACCATCTATAATGAGATCTGGTATCTGCATGCAGGCAGAACACTGTATAAAAAAACCTCTTGTACCTGCAAATATCCTTGGCTCCCACAAGAAATGCAATCCTACCTGCTTAGTGAGAAACAAATCCCTATTTCTTTTAGTGACCACACATTAAAAAAAATATTTACCTTTAATATACAAGCATCACCAAACAACAAGTATTCATATGTGACTCAGTAGGCTTGTGGTCAGTTCATCAGCTCAAAGGGAAAGAAAATAATGCTAACGTTCCTGATGTTCAATATTGTGTTTGTCTGCTAGTCCCCTACTAGGTAAAATGGTGGGACTTGGTATCATTAGATGCTGTACCTATCCTCCAAGCTCAATTCAACTTTCACCCTAAACAGTCAAGTGGTCTGCTGCATCTGATAAAAAAAACACATCTCTTCTCTTATGAAATTGAATGTCTCAGTAAACTGGAAATTACAGGTGTAATGGAAAACAAAATCACACCACTTTTAACACCTAAGTTGTTTGAGTACGGTGAAGTCAACACAATGAAATCGTAGCAAACTGCACCTGCAGTTGGCTTTCATAATAATCACTTAATAAAGAGGTAGAGACCTACATACTTATCCTTTGTGTTCTGTCTACCAGCTTCAGCTAGTTCAACTTCCTAATTAGCTGTAAATTCTCCTAATTACTTACCTCTGAAACCAAAACCAGACATAGTGTTTAAAAGTGGGATGTTACATAGTCTGTGGCAGACCGTTCAGTGGCTATTGTGAATATTTTGAAACTCTTCATATAAGCTTAGTGAAGCAGGAATGTTATTTTGCTATTTGTAGACTCAGACTTCAGGATTTAGACAAGTGTCTTACATAATTGGTGTATAAATTCAGACTTTTTTTTTTTTTTTGAGAACACTCAGTCTTAGCTTCCTCATCTGTGCCCCACTGGTTTGTAACCAAGGAACTGGAAAACAGGCCATATGCCACAAAGCTCCTTATAATCACTGGGAACGCTGTGACCATCGCTACCTGGAATTCAGCCTCCAGAGGAGAGGGGTCACTGGGTGGATCTCTCTTCTTCATGTTCTGTAAACATGAGTGTAACTCAGACAGATTTACTTCTGTTTCCCCAAACTGATTGTATTCCACTAATGCCTGATGGATCAAGATGTACTGTGCCTGCAAAAAGCAAAGGACGACACACATAACTAACATACACTACGGAGCCCTACATATCCCATTGAACTAAAATATACATACATACAAATTTTCCTACATCAGGAAGCTGTGTGATAAAAGAATATTGATATATGTAGCATATAAATAGTCTCAAAATTGACTCTCACAATTTTCTAGAATATGTACAAATTGCATTTTGGACTAAAATTCCATAAGAAAATAAAATAGCTTGTCAAATAGAGTATTCACTGTATGTGGCTTTCATTTTATGCCTAGATTTTCTATACTAACACATGGCATGTTACTTCCTCCACTGATTAATTTTGAGATTAATTTTATTCAAAGCTATAATAATTTTCAACATATGTCAGAAAATAGGTTGATATACTATAGAACATATTATTCAAAGTTTTTATAGCATTTCTCTTCAATGAAGAAGGCTAAAATCTAGTATGCCAAACCAAAGTTTAACAACCCTAAATCCTTTTGTTATCTCATTGGAATCCTTTTTTGTTTGTTTTGTTTAAGAAAAGTACATGATTCTGATAAGTCTTTTTTAAACCACCATGTGTGGTTTGGCATATCTTTTGACTGTGATTAATTCCTGGGAATCATCCTATTAGTATAAATCTGTATTCCTGTCTATTTATCTACACACAAGGTCACGCATGTCACTGATCCCTGTAGTTTCTATCTCTGTATCTGACCATGTAGAGAGATGGATTGTTCTCTCCAACAGTACAAGTTTTCAATTTGCTGTGATTTTTTTTTCAATTCCTCACTATAGATATTTAGATTATTTCAAATATTTTGTTATTCTAAGTATGCTTAACCCAAGGAGCATCCCTGCACCTGTTTCTGTATATGGCCATTTACACAGGTAAACTTGCACGGTTGCCAAACAGACATTTTTAATAATAACTACCACTTCCAATTAACAAATGCTACAGCATATACACCAAACTTGTCTAAGTGTTTCAACTTATGTTTTCCTCCCCTCATATTTGTTTTGGTTATTATTATGAGGTAAATACTGACTTTATCTCAGCACCATTTCCATTTTATGGATCGTTTCTCTGAGGAATAGAAAGATGAAAGAAATCCACAGAGTATAAAAATGAACAATTCAGGGTCTGTATTTGAATTTCTGAACTCTAGTCCAAAGAGACAGCTTCTTGCAGGACGGGGTGGTTCCTGACTGCTAGCCTACCACTTGGGAAGCTGAGGCAGGATTTCTGATGCAAATTCAAGGCCAAGTAGGCTGTATAGTGAGATCCCGTGTAAACAAAAGAAAACAAACAAAACACAAGATGCTCTTGACCCGGGATATTTTCTATCTGCTAATGTTATGAAAAATTGCCAACACTGTTTCATCAGGCTCAGGAATGTAAGTGATGTTACTGTTTGGGGAATATCTTAAGCTTATATTGCTTCCAAGGTACGTTTTTAACACGAGTCCAAAGTGCTTCTGATAGAGACTAGCTTGTTTTAGCTTTCAGAAGTTAACACATGTTCTTCACCCACCTTTTGGATTTGTAAAGACATGTATTTCTTTTACACGCCTCACCATTGCCCCCAGGAGATTTCAGTCATCAATAAAAGTGAGCCTACTCATGAAAATTTTGACTGTACCTCCACTTGTACCATCAGACACCTCTGTCGCCTTAGCTTGACGACATAACCATAGACATCCACCTTGCCCTCTGCTTCCAAGCCTTCCAGCATAGCATCAATTCCAATGTAGGTGCCTGTGCGCCCAACACCAGCACTATAGGGACAAACAGAAAAGTGAGCTGTGAGGTATACCAGATGGCTCAGTGGGTGAAGAACTTGACTGACAAGACTGACCTGAGCTTCATCCCTGAATACCAGTTAAAGGTGGAAAGAGAACTTAATCTATACATCTGTCCTCTGTCTTAATACCACACACACACACACACACACACATACACACACACACACACACACAAGCACAATTTTGTTAAAAAAAAGGAATAAAAACATGAACCATGTTCACAAGGAGAAAATGGAGAAGCCATCAAGGCTTGCAAAAAGGCAAGTTTCACCTTGAAAATTATTTACGCATTTACATTCAGGCCCTTGCTTTGTACTTTACAAATCATGACATCGGCTTATGCCCCCACAAATACATGCAAGTATGAAATGTCAGTTATTATAAGAGAAGCTGTTTGAAAATGAATATAAATTCATCTCAGCAGTTTGGTGGATTGTTGGGGGGGGGACATAGCACTAGCCAATAAATAAATGTCCCTGGCTGCCCAATGGAGTTGTACAGAGCCCTGGGGACTCTTGGCCCACAGCGTCTTTACCTGCAGTGCACCACAATGGGGCCACTGAAGAAGTTGCTGAAAGCATTAACCCTCCGCCGGAGTTTGAGGAGCAGGTGGGGGTCTTCGGGAACCCCGTGGTCTGGCCAGCTGGTAAACTGGATATGAGTCACGTCTCTTCCAGTTGTTTTCTCCTTTTTCTAGTTGAGAGATAATGCATTCTTTGAGACGGTTTCTTTCAAAGTGAACTCGGTGAGATAGATAGATAGATGATAGATAGATAGATAGATAGATAGATAGATAGATAGATGATAGATGATAGATGATGATAGATAGATAGATATAAATAAGAAGAGGATCTGTGTAACTATCCACAAATCTTTGTTTCAAAAGCTTTCTTTCTTTGTTTTCCAGGATTGAATTCCCTGTCCCATGAGAAGTCACACTAGACTCAGATGCAATACCCAGTAAAACAGTGATAAGCAGAGCGAGGAAGAGTTAGGAAAGAAGAAACTTCTCACACTTTCTGTGATATAAAACCAAAATTAAAAATAATGAAATAAAATAAAAAAAGAGACTAAAAAAGGGAGTGGAGAGATGTTTGGAAACTAAGTAAACACTATCCTCACAATGTTTTAGAATTCATCTACTTGGGTTCCTAGCAAGTTATTTCCTACATGAAGAAAGTATAATTAATTATTTGGTTTACATTCTATTCTACAGTTTATTATCTACTTTGTGTATGTATGTATGTGTGTGTGTGTGTGTGTGTGTGTGTGTTTGTGTGTGTACATGTGTGTATATGATTGCTAATACCCAAGAGCAAGAGCAGAGCAGCAAAGAGGGTTTTAGGAGAAATAACTAGCAAATGTGGTTGTTCGGTTTTTGTTTTCCTGAAGAAAATGTATCTGAGCTTTGCACAAATAATAAGTCCAGATTACCAAAACAAAACAAACAAGCAAACGAAAAACCCCCAACAGATAAAATTCAAAGAAAAGAGGAACTCAAGTAGAGTATGCAAGTTTAAATCGCACTCTTAAGATATACATGGTGAATCAATGAGTCTACATACTTAAATGTGTTGTTACAACCAGAGCAGTACTCCATTACTCGTGACAGGACATTGCTATCGCTGTAAAATGAAAGCCTGAACCCATCTGACTCCCCATTTGAAACCCTCCAGCCTAAGGCAGCCACCAATCTGTTTTCTGCATTTATAGACTCCTCTATCTGGAATTCTCCTGGAAATGGGAATGTGTAATAAGAGATGATCCTCTATTTCAACTCTTTCCAAGGCCACACCGACCTCATTCTTTGTTGAGCTGAATTCTCTCTCTCTCTCTCTCTCTCTCTCTCTCTCTCTCTCTCTCTCTCCCTCTCCCTCTCTCAGCTGTATAGTTGTAATTTGCTACTTCTGAAAATGCTCGTGTGATGTGCCATTTTTAAAATACACTTTCCATAAGACAGACTACTGATACTGACAGGCAGGTTTGGATTTTCCATTTAACCTTGTCACTGGCTCAGTACATCTTGAGAACCCTCCCGTTGCTACTTCAGAGGTCCAGCATAAGGGACGCTATGATCGGTGTAGACAAACAATGCATTGATCAGCAATCTAAATTTTATCTGCTTAGCTCTCACAGTTGCTTCAACCTGTTTCTTTCCCCTAAAGGTCATTAAAAGTGATCTTTCCCAGATGTGTCTAAGCTCTTCACGGTTAATATTCCTTAGCTGTAGTTTTATTAAAAAAAAAAAAAAAAAGCCACACCAATCGAAAAGTTATGTAATGAAGCACAAAACTCACATTTGTGATGCTCAGCTTCTGAATGATGTAATCGGGACATCTTTTGTGTTCATTGATCTTTACAACAATATCTCTGAAATCCCGGGTACCTTCCTCCATGCATGGCCAGTATTCTGCACACTTGTTCTACAGTTTCAAAGAATAAAAATAAAATAATTGATGACTCCGGTGTATCGTAAAACAGTTTCTGTTGCTCCTAAAACACCAGCAATCAAAAATCTATTCAACTGATACTCCCCTGAAACGTTGCATGTGTTTTTAGTAATACGTGCACCTTGAACTGAAACGGGTCCTATTTCCCACTAATGTTTCTGGATGGGTTTATCTTAACCGATCAGCAGAAGGACAATCTGCCCAGCCCTCATCACCTATAATTACAAGAAGACTGCAAAAATTGATGAGGGAAAAGTAGCGCATTTACACGTGGTCACTTTCAGGCTCAGGAAAACAGAGCCTTTTACTTCTCTCAAAGTAGATAATAATGTGTGTGATAATCTGTAATTTGTAATTACGTGTGTGCACACTATTTATCCAAGGCTGGTCACCTTTGCTGCGGCCATTCACAAATAGTTATGAAGGTAGCAAGTTACAGTGTACAGAATTACGGAACTTACCACAATGCCAAATAAATGCCTCAATGTCAATTCGCTTGACTATTTTGTGCACACACACGCATGCATGCACGCATGCATGCACACACACACACACACACACACACACTTTGTATACAGATTTAGGTTTTCTACTTGCACGGAAATGTAAATAAAATATCAACAGGGTTAAAACAGAGCACTGTCTGTATTACTCATGCCAGGTGTAGCTCGCCATGCCCTAAGTTCCAACCTCAGCTTTCTGGGCTCTTACCCGGTTTCCTTCTTCACATCGTGTGACCATGACGATAACTGTGGCTTTTTGTTCCCAGATCATCCTCCAGAAGTCATCAAGCGTCTCATCCCGGGGTCCTAGAAATTAAGTACAAGTTTCCAGGTACTTTCTCAGAAATGCTAATAAAACACATTTCTGGGAGCGACTCTAGCGTTTGCAATAAATTACCTTGTGCAGCGATGTATTTCCTTGGTTCTTTGAAGCCCTGATCAAAACACACAAAGGGAAGAGCCATTTATAGAACACTTGTTCATTTTACATGCAAAATTGTGAATTCTAAAGAGTCGATGTTGCTCTATCATGGTTGTAAACATGTCTGGCCATTTTTAGATCATTGTAGGGGGGTATCACTGTACAATGAGACATTTAATGGTGCTGAACAGGTTAGCTACCATTTGCAAACAACATTCATGACCTACATATATTTTTTCCGTATAATCCAAACAGCTTTTATAATTAGACTTCATCTCATCTGGGATGGTGCAGCAATTAGTGAGATGAACCCAGACTTTCCTCATTTATAAACTGCTTGCCCTACAGTACCTTCCGCTATTTAAACATTTTTTTTTCAGCCATGGAGCTCTTTTTCAGAGTTTCCAAGTCATTTTCTTGCAACAAATCCCTCTGGGAACACACCTACACTTCCACATATTAACTGTTGCTGGAACATGCTTTGGATTCCCTAGAGTCCTTTTATGCCATTCCGGATATGGAAAATAAAAACATTCATTATCTGTAATGACTGCTTTCTCTGCCCCACTAAGACAAGGAAGCCATGCAGACACAGATGAGATATGCCAATTCCTTGCAAAATACCCCCAAACACTGTAAACTTACCCTAGCAAAGGGAAAAATACCATAGGAAGAGATAGTGATGCCGTTGCTTAAAACTTTGCCTATCAGGTATATAAATCCTCACTTAATTTTACTAATCCTCATGACAGCATCAGTCATATGCACCTATTCATAAATTCTAGCAGTATGACAAGAACATACTTAGCAGCTGACAAGATCTGCTTTCCAGGGGGTTGGAGCTCAACTGGAGAAACGCAATTATAACTAGACCCCGCCATTAGCATACATAGTTAAGCAGAATGTGTAAGCTATTAATTGTTAGGGTCTACCTAAATCCTTACAAAAATCTCTAGCATTGCCATGTCTGCTCTCAGTTAGTCCTTTGAAGGACAAGATTTTCAGAAAACAGACTTGTTCACCACAACTGTGGCCTGCTAAGTTCACTTGCCGAAGCTCAGTTGAAAAGAAGGTGAATGTTATGACCAATGGCTAAGTTATGCGTGGCTTGCTCCTGGAAACAAGCTTTGCAGAGAACATGTAAAGCAGGAAAAATAACTTATACTATGGAGAGCATGCACACATTCAGGAGAATGGTTTTAATGGTTTTAAGTAAGACTATAGAAAGTGTTAGGTATCAAAAATATTTGATGAAAGACAGGTTTCAGATGGTATCTTCAGAAACCACCTGGGGATGCAATCGAGTTTGATTCCCCTAGACAAACTAAGACTATTTTACAGTGAACTGTGGATTATTTAATCAATACGTGGAAATCACTAAAAATTGATGACCGATAAACAGCAAATGCATCTAGAAAATTACAGCATGTTACCAAACAGACATGATCATTTGTGTCAATAATTTAGTTCTGGAAAGCCACACAATAAATATCTCAAAAGGTGACAGTATTAATGATTAAAACATAGATGTCAAAGGTGTATGAGTGATTCAACTAGAAAAAAATATCTACCTAAATTTGTTTTTATGTTTTTACATAGACTGTGCGTCGTGGTTGATTGAATTCTTGCTCCCAAATTTTGTATTTACCCTGGAACCCCAGAACGTGCCTTTAAATGAGAGTCATGTGGGTCTGTTAAAACGTGTCTTAAGAGTGACGATCAGTGCTCATATGAGTGAAGGGCCCTGGGTGTGAGGGTACAGGAGATAGGGCAGGCGCGGAAGCCGTGAGGCAGAGACAGAAACTGGAGAGGGGCAGCCATTAACCAGGGAAAATACGGATAGCCAGGAGGCCCCAGAAGCCAAAGGGTGACCATGTAGGATTTCTTTCCTCCCAGGCAGCTTGGAGTGAACATGGCTCTACTGATGACTTGCTTTGAAACTTTCTGGTTCAAGAACTTAGAGAATAGAGTCCTGGTACTAATGTGTGAAATTTTATTATGCTGGATCTCAGAAACTAATGCCTTTACGTGCGCGCGCGCGCACACACACACATACACACACTATAATAAGGTGAAATTTGACTTTCCACTTCAATAAAACGTTGCATATTCATGTGAGCAAAAGATAAATGGCCATAACAAAAGGACCTCAATTTCAACCATCCACCCTTCAGAAAAACTTGAGAATTCCATGCATATCAGCACATAGAAGAGCACATCACATACTTTGTCAAGGACTTATAGGAACGGGTTATGAGTTAGAGCAACTGCCGTGTGGACACGTTTAAATTATAATTATATAGGTTCCTTGGACCTGGAATTCCTCTTTTAGAAATCTATTCTATAGACAAATTAAAAGCCACAGTATAATAATATGGACCAAGAATACCACATCTCTCTTTTTTGGTGGTGGAAGTTTATAAGGCATACTTAATGTTCATTAATTATACCACGCATTAACAGAAAAACAAAAAGATCCAAAACCTGGCTTGGTCTGGAGTCAGCAAACTATGGCCTGTGATGTTTAACCTTTGTTTTATTTATTTGTTTTTTTACATATTTTAATTGCACAAGTATCTGAGTGTGCAAGTGCCTACAGAGGCCACAAGAGGGTGTCAGCTCCCTTTAATAGATGTTAAAGGTAGTGTGAGCTTCCTGATGTGAGTGGTGGGAACCAAACCTCGAAAACTCTGCAAGTAAGGCCAGTTCTCTTAACTGCTGTACCATCTCTCCAACTCCCCTTTCCCTGCACCCTGCACCCTGATGTTTAATCCTGAGTGTCAATTTGAGACAAACTACATGTCTGTGGGGGAGGGGAGGAGTATGAACGGAGGCTTAAATGAGGTAGGAAGACCCACCCTGATTGTAGGTAACTCTATTCTCCTGACAGAGATCCTGCACTGAATGAAAGAGAGGACAGGAAAGGAATTCTAGCATTTATCTTTCTCTGCTTTCCAGACTGCAGATACACTGAGGTCAGAACCCATACTCCCACAACCATGATGATGTGGTGTACCTCAAACCATGAGCCAAAATAAACCTTCCCTTCCTTAAGTGGCTTTTGTAACAGGAACAAGAAAGGTCTATTCAGGCCTGTGAGCAAATCCAACAAGATCTGACTTCATACCTAACGTGTTTCTGTCAGTGAGCTGTGTTATGTACTGTCACGGGAAGAGTTGAGTATTTGTGACAAAGACTAAGTATGCTCTCCAAAGTCAAAAGGAAGTGCTCCTTGGGCCGTTAGAGGAAGAGACTGCTAATCCTTCCCTCTAGAGTGTTATTATATATGTTATATGTAGAGGGAGAAAGATCTATGTGTATGTAAATATTTTAGATAGTTGTATATTATACTACACATAGTTATGCATCCTATATTTATGCTATACATACATGTATATATGTGCATGTGTTTTCATACAAAAAGTATCTCTATAGTGGGTATGCTTATACATGCATATTTAGAAAACAATACAGAATAAATTACAGTGTGAATATATTTATAATGAGAGCCATGGTGAATATTGGAGTTTTACTTTTCTCGTAAGAAACGCTGTGTAGACATGAAGACTCTACTGGTGGAAGGAAATGCTTGGTAGATCCAGTAAGGAGATGTTCTCAGACATATGTGTTTTTCTACTGTATGAAACTCTTTAACTCCTAGGAAGTACACTTATTTGAAAAATATATATGCCAAATCTTAAAATGGTTTCATAAATTTTTTTCTAGCTATTTACAGTTTGGATAACTACATGGGAACAATGAACAGCATCTACCACAGTGCCCTGTGTAACAGAAACATGGCAGTTTGGGGTCAGGCAGACCTGAATTGCATCTCAGTTAAAACCTTTACAGATTTCATTAGTTTCATAATAACTAAAGAACCTGAGCCTCCCGTGTCTCATGTATATGGTGGGCATAGTGCATTTAGCCGAAGAAATGCAGAGTTCTTACTTACGAGAAATGTTTTCAGAGATAATTGTCTTTAATGCACAGCAGAGAGTAGACTTTTATTTCCACTAAGAAGAAAGCCCCATTTCACACCTAGTACCAGCAAGCACACATGTAATGATTTTATTTGGTGTCAGTGATGTTATGGGCTTAACTTAGAAATATTTCTAATAACTTCTCTAAATTTTTGCAAAAACAGTGGAGGAACTAAATGGAACACATAAATACAAAGAAAATGAACATTTCTCACAACCAAAAGAAGCTCCAAGGTAACCCAGTGTAGGTACTCACATCAATGTAGCTAGCATTTATGTAAGTGGAGCCTGCATCTCCATTTATTTCAGAGAGTTCAACACGGTTGTAATCATCTGTTTAAAGAAAAGAAAAATTTAGTATTGAAATAACGAGTATCCATGCATTGTCAACATACAGAAACTTGGTTCCTATGTGAACTCACAGGGAAGGATGTCAACGTAACGGTTTTTATTCTGGTTGTGGAGCTTTCGGGCATCTTTGATAGAAAACTTGCTGAATACCCGTGGAATGCTCTGGAAGACACAAAGATTCTTGGGATTACAGAAGAGTCTAAAAAGAAGGAGGAGAAAGAGGAAGAGGATGGAGGGAAGAAGGGAAGAAGGAAGTTAGTTTTTCCTTTACCAGTCACCACTGGGGAATCAATGAGATGGTAACTTATAAATATGTCCTTTCTACTGGCAAACATGATACATAAAGGAGCTGGAATTAACTTTTTATGCATTTTCCAAAACCACATATTTCCTTTGAAAATTAATAACAGAATTAACTTTTTATGCATTTTCCAAAAACCACATATTTCCTTTGAAAATTAATAACAGAGCCATTAAATTATTAAATTAAAAGTTGATTTCAGAACAAAGTCATGTGAAAAATATACAATAATCAATATGCCACTCAAAACTTCAGTTCCTGACTGATCATTAGACTGTTACCTAGAACCAAGTATGTTTTGTGAGGAGACTTTGCGATCGGTTACAATGCACTAGGGCAGTATTCTATGATGTTTACCAGCTTCATACTGTGAATGGCTGGCCGTCTCTTATCTCTAAATACTGCAGGCACATATGCCTGTTGTTATATTGCTGTGTTCCGCGGGCAAAGGATTAAGGCAAAGGGTTTTGCAAATATACTTAAACATGGAATCATCTTGATGACCCTGTGGAGTTTCTTACCCTGTATCAACGATGACACATACCTGAAATTCAGCCAGAAAAAGTCTACCCTCATCAGCGATCTTCCTTTTATATGTTTCCAACAAAATGTCAGCGTGAATTGGCTCCACATCCATCAGCTGCTTTTCGTCATCTGTAAACAAGTCAAATTCAAAACCACTGTTGTGTCTGTCTGTCTGTCTGTAGGTTAGCTATGCATATGTTAATAGAGTTCACGTCTTGAACTCATTTCTCAACAGTTTTCTTTCTCCCTCCCTATCTTTGTAGGCAATTTCATTCACACGCAAGTGTTCGCCTATAAATTAAGGACTCGTAAATCTTGTACTTCAGTCTTTTTCTGACTTTGTACTATTCTCTTTACTAGAGTGAGCTTCTCCTTTTCCTATGCGTAGATAAAGAGTCCCTGACAAAATATCGACATCACCAGATGTTCATGTTTTTGCTTGGTATCATGTAGTTGATAGTAGCTGGCATATTTCTATATGCCATGATTATTATTTTTCTCGTCAACAACCTAACACATGCTAAATTTTTAATTTTGGTAAAATAATGTAATTGTACACATGATAAGAGAAAACGATTAATACTGTTTTATCTACCTTATCATCTTAATTTGGTTACACTCTACTGTCAAACGAATTATACTCATCTGCTGTACCTCAAGAATATTTTAAAAATTAAATACATCGTGAGATAACTTTCTGTGATTAAAACAAAGAATGCAGATGGATATTGAGCATTCCCTTTCTTTCTATTATGAAAAAGTTTCATAGGGATCTTGAAAAAACATAGGTTTGTACTAAATACACTTGTTATTTGATCATATTTTATGTGTATGTTTTGTCCACATTTATGTATGCGCACACAACCATGCAGCTCCCACATAGTCCAGAGGAGGGTATCTGCTCTGCTAGATCTGGAGATCAGGGCAGTTGTGAGCAGCTAAGAGAATGATGAGAACTAATGTAGGTCTTCTGCAAGAGCAGCCAATGATTTTAAAAGGTTAAGAAGGTTTGTGCCAGCCTGGCAGGGGTGGCAAATGCCTTTAATCCCAGCACTTGGTGGGCAGAGGCAGACAAATCTCTGTGAGTTCAAGGTCAGCATGGTCTACCAAATGAAATCCAGGCCAGCCAGGACTACACAGAGAAATCCTGTGTCAAAAAACCAAATAAATAAATAATAATAATAAAAAAAAACAAAAAGAAACTTTGTGCCATCATGCAAATGTTTCTCTTACTCTCTTCTGTTTCTGGTTCTTTCTCCGGGTGTCATGGTAACTGTGCCCATTGTCAAATGAAGGAAGAAGCTGTCCATGAGTGTGTCATTTTTATCTAACTACTCACAGATCTTTGCTCCCAAAGGCAATTACCACTTTGGCTAGTTGCAGTAAGCAAGTAGTTCCTTTTGGTGATGGGAGATGCCTGGAACTCATCCATGCTGAACTGAGGGCTTTGTTTAGAGTAAGTTCTAAACTCTTCCCCCCCAGTTGCAACTGGTACTAATTACAAGATGAAACATCTGATACTTCCAACCAACCTTAACTGGTGGAAGTGTACCCTGCCCCTCTGCCCAGGTATGATCATTCCTTTGTCCCTCCTTCTCCTCAGGGTAGAACAGAACCAACACTCTAGAAATGTTACTTTGTCCACTCACTGACACGCACTGAATTTCATATACTCACCCTGGCACTGGGAAAAAAAAAACACCAGGAAGAGAGAGACAGACAGAGAGAGAGAGAGAGAGGGAGAGAGAGAGGACCATCCCACCTTCCGAAAGTCTACAACCTACTTATGTCAGCAAAGACATGAACAAATACAAGTATGGAGTTGTGGTGCAGTCTCTAACAGAAAGTACAACAAAGGATCTCTGGGGACAAGCCCAAAAGCTGCTGTACACGAACTTGGTTCCTCCTGTTGTCAGAAGAAAACCCTTCACACGGGAGGCAACAAAAGATAGAGAAGTGCCCTGAAGTTCTGTGTCTCATGTAATGGAAAAACGAGCTACATTGATCATCGTAAGCCTAGTTTAAAAATCTTTAATGGTTGGCTTTTATTGGTTCTGTCTCTAAGTTATGTAAAATTGGCCAGGTGTTGGTGGTGCACGCCTTTAATCCCAGCACCGGGGAGGCAGGAGCAGGGGGATCTCTGTGAGTTCGAGGCTAACCTGGACTACAGAGTGAGTTCCAGGACAGGCTCCAAAGCAATACAGAGAAACCCTGTCTCAGAAAAAGAAAGAAAGAAAGAAAGGAAGGAAGGAAGGAAGGAAGGAAGGAAGGAAGGCAGTGTCTATCTTACTCATCACTGGGCCTTCAGTGAGAAGGCCTGCCAACCCACTCTGGAAAAACCTGACCAGATTCCACATCACCTCATCACTATGGGACACCATCTACTCTCCTAGTCTCCCTTACTCACTAGTTGGTCTGATGTTTCCCAGCAGCCTTGGCCAACCAAATTCCTGCACCCTCCACAGCCAATTGTCTACCATTTTTCTTTATACAGAACTATGCACATTAAATAGCTATAACGTTTATCAAATAGTTCTTACTCATCAATACACTTGGATTCCTGTATCAGTCCCAAACCTTGAAGGGCAGAGACCATGGCCTGTCCCTGTGGTACATTCAGTACCATGGACAGTATTTGTGATACCTCAAAAACTTCACATAAATAAATTTGTTTCAACGCGCGTCGATAGATAAGGTCAAGATTTAATTAAAGATGCACAGCCCTTGTTTTTTTTTACTAAGAAAATGTAAATTCAGAGAAATGGTATTCACCAGTAAAAATTACTTATACTCACCCCTTTCGACGAGTTCCTGTTGTTCGTCTAAATTACTGTGAAAATAAAGAAAGATGGGTTTCTGTATTTGTAAGGACACGGCATCCAGTTGGCATTCAGCCTAACTGAGCAAACGCTGTTTTGTAAATGTACCGAGAGAAGGAGGAAATAGAGGGGAGGCTAACAGGATGGGGTAGAGGGGAACAGGAGAGGAGGCTGGAAGGATGGAAAACGGAAGAGGTAAAACAGGGACTTGGAGGAGACTGAAGAAACCAAGGGAGCAGAGGAAGCAATCAAGAGTTGCCTGTAAAGTTCAGAAGAGTAAGAGTTAAGTGAATTCTCCCCTTTTTCATAAATATTTGTCTTCTTGGACAAAGAAATAAACACACTTCCCAGAACTTCCCTCATTTTGCACTTGCTGTCTGCAGGTTACTTTCATCTACTGAGGATTAAAAGAGAAGGTACACATTCTTCATGCTGGTTATCAAAACAAGCCCACAATGTCAATAGCAAAGGCAGAGAACGTAAGTGCTTACAGTAAGCCAATAACTCCATGTTAAGTCATTAACATCCGAATTGAAGTTCATACCGTCTTCTCTAGTCCATTGCTCCATTAATGCATTTTGAACAACAGTCCCGTGACATTATTACAACTACTACTGCCTCCCCACTCAAAATTTAATTGTCTCTTACCTGGATCTTTTCTTACGCAGGTCATAGATTTTATACAGGACAACAAGCAGGGCTATTGATGTCACAATAATCAGAAACACCAGGAATATAATCAGTGCTCTAGCATTATCTAGAAAATGGGAAGTGACATACAAGGGATTATTGTGTTGTATGCTTTGGTAGACAATGTGAGTGACCCTCATGAACTAGGATTTTAGTAATTTTCATTTATGGTGAAGATTCTAAGCAAAAAAAAATTATAGAATAAGATGAAATACATTAAAATCTCGATTTTGCAATGATGGGCTCTGTTATTTCAAAATTCCCAGGGCATTTATATTTAAAGAGACTAATTAGAATATAGATGAGCACTTCCTTTTCTTTTCATTAAATACTGTACTTTTGTAGAAAACTATCATTTAGATTTAATTCCCTTTCAGAGAGTCATTTTAAAGGGATCAATGAGGTAATGCAGTTATTACAGCTTTCAGAAAGAAACTCATAGTTTACCATTGAGCACAGAAGTGGGTAGCCTCCTAAGGGATTCATAAAAGCTTCTTCCCCACAAAGATAAATCTCTTCCATGCTCATTGGGGAATAAAACCAATTAACCAGGAGACAAAATTTATTTCATTTGACAGTGAGGATTAACACTTTCCCTAGCTTGAGTTTTCACGAAGAATCTATGTAAATCACAAGTATAGGGTTAGCAGAGCAAAGTAGGGTTGGCAATATCTTTATCCTGGGTTATGTGCCATCCTTTTAATGCACACGATGGAAATGCAATAAACCCAGGCAGTGACATCAAAGTTTGAGCCCCAGAGCCAGGCTGTTGAGCTTCTAACCTTAGTTCTTACTTCCTGAAATAGAATCCTATTACTTTTGCACCTTGGATCCTTAATTCAAGGCCAACTAGTATGATTCCAGTAAATGGGAGACTATGTAGAACCCTGTGTTTGTGTGTGTGTGTGTGTGGGGGGAGAGAGAGAGAGAGAGAGAGAGAGAGAGAGAAAGTGCTTTATTGTTTGTAATGATGCTCCAGATCTATAAGGTATCTTAGAAATCAGAGTATAATCAAAACACACATTTGTAGCATATATATGCGTGTGTGTGTGTGTGTGTGTGTGTGTGTGCATACTTATATCAAACATCACTGTCACATTTAAAGGAGCTACCAAAAATACCTGTCTGTGCAAACAAATACTCTTAAAATTTGTGATGAAGGCAACATCCACTTAGAGACTAAGTGATCAAATCCATTAATTAAAATTTCATGGCACTGTATTTTAATCTGTGTTTACTCGGAGGTTTTTGAAAATTGCAGGTACTTATAAAATATGTACAAGCAACTAAGGAGTCAAAAATAGCACAGCTTTGCTCAAACAAATGTATACGCATAAAAAAATATAGCAGGACGACTTACAAGATGTTGATTGATTTTCAGCCACTGCCTTTCCCTGATACACTCCATTGTGAAAAGAGACCTAAATATCAGTTTTTAAAAAAAAAAGAAAAAGAAAATAATTTAGTTTTCTACTGTACGTGTGCATGGCACCTTATAAAATGTGCATTGTTTTTCATAAAATGCTGCTTCTTTTTCGTTGAAAACCTCTGAGCCAAATCTGAAACTGTAAGATCATTTCGTCGTACCCACACACAAACATGAAAAAGGGTCTTACCTATCTCAGGAACGGCATCGATAACAAATGGAAATTGGGAAACACAGTTCAGGAAACGAAATGCAGAGTTAATAATTTTTTAAGGTATAGTAAGCAGACAAAAATAAAGTCTATTAGTAGGCCTGCAGGTTCGCATTTTATTTTTGAAGTCATAAGAGATGTGTGCAGAGTGTGCATATTATGAGGGTGAAAGACATGAACAAATGACAGTGTGGGAATAATTAGCATAAACATCTAGAGCTCATAAAATTTAATACAAATAAAGAAAGTAAGCTTGATATGGCGGGACACTGAAAGGGTTAATGAAAGAAGACTATGGCTGTCACATAAGTTATGTAAAAATAGATGTGAATACCATCACTACAGGGAACTAACATGATATGAGAACCCTGAAAAACATACACAGAAGCCTTCACTCCCCCAAGCGAGGGTAGGATTTCACAATTTTCATGAACAAAATTGTACCAACTACCTCTTATAAAGCAAAAAAATTCACAGCGTTAATGGAAATGTATCACTCCTCCAAGTATCCATTATAGATTCTTTAGATGTAATCAAGGTGTAAAAGAAAATATCAGAATGAACAATGCACTTCAAGAATTCAGTACTTTCTGTGTGTAGGCAGGCAACGTAACCCACAAGCCGTGTCAGAACAGGATATAAATTTTTCCGAACCACAGCAACAATGACCATAATTATTTTTCATAAGAGGCAAAGATGCAATCAGAAAAACATCAAAACAAGTCACTAGAAATAAACTATTAGTAATAAAACATTGTAGTGGACTTGGTAATACTAAATAAATATGAGATGATTACACCTTCATGAGAATGCGTATGTTGTCTTAGGGTCATAACTGCATGGGGAAATAAGTTATGATGAATGAAATGGAGAAAAAACGAGATCTGCTTGTATAGTATGTTTATAATGTTCACTCATATATCCCAGAATAATTTATAACATAAAGAGAATCCTAGCAAGAAAAGCTGTAGTGAGATGTCCACCCCGCACCTGTGGCACTGACCACGCCCATTGGGGGTTGGGGTGGGGACAGGTGTGGGCGTGACCTGGGGGAACTGGGTCTAGTGTCCTGGACCCCATCACTCTCTCTTGCTTCCTGGTCGGGGGTGGGGGAGGGAGACAGAGAGAGCATCCTGAGGCATCCTTGGGACCGGAACCTGCTGGTGGTCATCTGTTTCTGCTGTAAGTGATTTTTTTTTCCCTGAATAAACATCCATCAGCTTATTTTTTTCCCCAAATTCTTATTTATCCATGATATCTGGTGTCAGAGAAGCTAGAAGCTTTAACAGCTAAATGCTGGACATAGCGAAGAATCAACAAGCCCTTGGAATTTTCCTGTATTTGTTATCAAAAAGAAATCTGGTAAATGGAGATTGCTTACAGACCTGAGAACCATCAATAAAGTTATCCAGCCAATGGACTCTCTACAGCCTGAAATGCCCTTACCTTCTTTGTTACCTAAAGAATGGCCTATTATAGTTATTGATTTAAAAGATTGCTTCTTCACTATACTTTTACAAGAACAAGATAAAGAAAAATTTGCCTTCATGGTACCTAATTGAATAATTCTCAGCCCGTCCAAAGATATCAATGGGAATGCTAAATAGCCCCACCCTATGCCAATATTTTTTACAAAAACCTTTGGAAATAATTCATAAACAGTTTCCACAATCCATAATTTACCATTAAATGGATGATATATTGTTGGCTGATTCTAAAGTAAAACTATTTTTTAAAAATAATTGAGGAAGTAAAGGAAATTTTACCTCGCTGGGGATTACAAATTGCACGCAAAAAAATACAAAGAGGAGATACTATCAATTACTTAGGATATAAAATAGGTCTACAGAAATTAAACCACAAAAAGTACAGATCAGGAGAGATCGTTACCAGATTCTTAATGATCTTCAAAAATTACTAGGATCTCTCAACTACAGACCATTATTGGAGTAGAAGGGAATGATTTGAAAAACTTGAAAATGGCCCCAAAAGGGGACAATAACTTAAATAGTCTGTGAATACTATCAGCTGAAAAGGAATTAGAATGGGTAGAAAAGAGGATACTAGAGGCACATATGCACTATGTGGATCCAAAACTAGACTGTATTCTGGTTATATTACCATCTAGAGAATACCCTTCAGGAATTTTGATGGAGAGGGAAGATATCATATTAGAATGGATAAAAACCTAAAAATGTACACAGAAAAGGTCTCTGACTTGATTTTAAATGGTAAATTAAGACAGGACGGGATCCAGCAGAAATTATAAAATATAATGAATATCGGCAGAGAGCTTGCAGTAACTTTTTGGGAATGATTAGCAACAATTATTCCAAAAGTAAGGAGAATCAAATTAATAAAGAAAATTATTTGGATCCTTCCATGCATTGTAAGAAAAACACCAATCTCTGGAGTTCCTACATTCTATACAACAAATGCAAACAAATCAGGTAAGGCAGCCCTTATAACTCCGTACAAAAGGCAGAATTGTATGCCATTCTCATGATACTTACGGATTTTACAGAACCTCTCAATATAGTTACTGACTCTCAATATTCAGTCATCTTACATATTGAGAATGGAGGATGCTTTAGTAATAGCACATGTTCCTCCGTATGGAACATCCTTCAGGAAGATATAAATGGAATGCTCACTTGAAAAAAAAAAAAAAGCTATACTGCTGTATTAAAAGGATCAAAGGGGTTTTTAGAATACAAACCATCCCTAGACTATTTAAAGTTACACACACTGGAAAAGAGGGAAATATATTCAAAATGCAACAAAAGTTATCCATTCCATACAGATGTCAAGCCTATCTGTATATATTTTATTGAATCTGTATATATTTTATCCCTTTTGTGAATATCTACCCATGGAATTAATAAAATATTAAACTATTTACTCAATAATTCATTGAAGCAATAATGAACTATGAAAGAGGAGTGATAATTTGCCCCTTGGAATATGGAGAGTGTTTCGCACTAGAAAACCCATTACTGTAATTCACCACCATGAGCAAGTCAGCTACATAATTACCACTGTATCACCATTTAAAATAGCACCGTATCTATTTTTAATGGATTCCAAACTACTTGTGATGACTGTTATTGGTTGTCAATTTGACCACATCTGGAATTAACTAAAATCCAAGCAGCTAGGTACACTTGTGAAGGATTTTTTTTCTTGATTTATGTATTTGAGGTAGAAAGACCCACCTTAAATTCAGATTTTTTTAAGGTGGTAAGAGCCACCTTAAATGTGGGAAATTTATATAAAGGACACCAAAGAATGAAGCAAGGAAGCAATTGCTCTTTGCCTGCTTACTCTTTCTCTTGCTGGCAAGTCATTCTGTCACTGGCATTAGACTGAGATTCTGGCATTTACTAAAGACCAGTTGAGACATCCGGCCTCAAGGACTGCACAATTGCTGAATTCTTGGACTTTCCATTAGTAAGTAGCCATTGTTGGAATAGATGAACCACAGCCTGCAGGCTACTATGATAATTCCAATATATATATATATATATATATATATATATATATATATATATATATATTCATTCTGTTCTGTTACTCTAGAGAAGTATAACTAATACTTTTCTTCTTTAAAACTATAATCCTAAAAGCTTGTTACACAAAAAGTGACAAGAAGCCAATGAAGTCAATTATCACTATCATGTCGTGATAGTTAATGTCCATTGTCAAATTAACAGGATTTATAAACACCTATTTAAAAACTTCCTCAGAACATATCTATGAGGGAGTTTCGAGGTGGAGTTAGTTGAGGAGTCAGACCCACCCTAAATATGGGTAGCACCATTCCATGATAGACTTAAAAATAATGAGACTAAATAATAAGGACAACGTAGGCTTAACACTGATGTGTTGCTTTGTAGCTGTGGATAAAATATGGGCATCTGCCTCTTGGTCCTACCATCATCCATCCCTTCCTTATCATGATGGACCTTATCCCTGTCCAACTGTGAGAAAAATACGTTCTTCCTTAAGTCAATTTGTCAAGTATTGTTTGTAACAACAGGACAAGTAGCTGATATATTAAAGTAGGGGCTCAACAGATAAAACTGTTGGCAATCTGAATACAATTCCTTGAACCCATGGTAGAAGGAGAGACTTGACTTCCCAGAGATTTCCTCTAACTTCCATATATGCGCACTAGAGCATGTATTAACCACATTCACATACGTGTGTGCCTTCATAAATAAGGTAAACATTACGAAGAACATATCCTCCAAGGAATGATCTTTGCTGTGATACACCCAAAAGTGCATGACCCTCACTCCTTTGGAACTGCTTTGTGCAAAGGCGGAAGAGTTTGGAGAGTCAGTCTAGAGAAGTCCTCGAATGCTTTAAGTGGAGCATAATACACAATTTTGGTAAGAACCTGAAGTCCAGAATGCCAAGAGAATGACAAATAGTAAGTGCCCGGCTCATGGTGTTACAAGAGTTGCCGTGAACCAGGGCTGTAATGTAGCAGCTACATGGTACATTTTTAGCAAAGGATCTGGCTAGATTCTGTCCACAACTAAAGAAAAAGAGTAATAGTGAGCTAGAAAGAAATGTTTTAATCTCTTTGGTGGGGGAAATCTCATGGTAGTCCAGTGCTCAGGCTGTAGCATAGCTCCTGTTTACTGCTCTCATTCAGATCTCCAAGAAGGAAGAGGAGAAACATAAAGATGAGTTTTGTAGAGGAAGCGTGCAAGCAAGTTTAAAGAGCACCCAATAGGTGGAAGGTTATGAATTAAAGGCTATATGCTTGGGAAAGTAATGACAATTGGAAGCGTGACCTTACCAGAAATGTGTAGTCAGTTGAATAGTAGAGATTCTCTACATCGAATTTGCATGTGGTGCTGTTGAAATCTTTAAATAAAGAACCTCCACTTTTGACTTCCAAAATGTAAAATTTTCCAGGGCCATTAATTTCATTAGGAGGATCACACGTGACACTTATAAAATTTTCTGATTTCCTGATGGCTTTCAATCCATTGACCTTGCTTGGCGCTGTCAAAATAAAATGTGTGTCGTGTTTTAATCATTTGATGTATGGGGGAAGAAAAAAATGTAAATAACTTGAAACCTGTATAAACCAATTTAAATGTTGGTCTGCACATAGATGCAGTGCCTGTATTAAAACATCTAAAAATAAATCACCTCTTCATTAAGTATTAACATAGAAGGCATGCTGGAAGTCCCACGGGATTGCACAGTCCCTGTATAACAGGGTGTGGAACTGAACGGCATTGAAGAGTTAAAGGGGGAAGGGCAAAGAAGGATGCTGGGGAAATATGGAAGGTCTCCTGGACATCCCTGACCCTCCTCTCATGAGTATCCGAATCAGCACCAAGTGAGATTCTAGAATTAACAGATCACTTCCATTTGCTTTGACATCCCAGAAACCTGGGAAGGCAACAACATCATATGGATATAAGACTTGGAAAAAATTTGGATACTTTTATTGATTCTTCGAGAATGCCATACAATATATATTTGAGCTTGTTCATTCATACACACTCTGGTTTCTCCTCTCAGCATCTCCTCTTCCCTGCCTCCCATTTCCATTCAGCTCTGAGTTTATCCCTCTTCTTGCTAGTTACCGGGCTTGGGGCCTGTCCTAACGTGTGGTCAGCCTATCAAGGGTCATGTCTTTAAAAGAAACGGACACTCCTTCTCTAGTAGTTATCAAATGCCAACAGTTCCTGAGCTAGTGGTGGGGTAATGTGTACACTTTTCCTCTCTACACTGAGATTTTTAGGATTTAGACATGTAAAATCTGAGCCGAGGTGATGTGGAGAATGTTTTAACATTGACAACATTTTTTTTTTCCTTCAGGGATCTGGTGCTCATGTAGGTCCTATGGTCATAGATTCTACCATACCCCCCCCTGACTCTTTCTTATTCCCTGCCTTTTCAAAATGAGCAGCTTCCTTGGACACTAACCTAGCATTGTTTCTGGAAACTATGTGAACACCTATGTGAACACCACACTGGAAGCAAGACCATTGAAATTTCCAGTATAACACAACATTAAAAAAAGCTGTATATTATTAAATGTTTTGTTGTGTAACTATGAGTCGATGTTCCTGTAGGACATCTTGGTGAGGATAGTGTTTCTAGATAGCATAGCAAGAATTTTTAATCTAAGGTGATGAGGGGTTTAAATGCTCCACATCTTACGAAGCACGCTGGCTGATGGCATCTCCCGCCACATCTTACGAAGCACACTGGCCTCCTGCTTTTTTCCTTCAACCCTGTGACTATATCTGATAAATACAGTGAACCTCGACTAGCAGGTCTTAAACAATTATTTTTTTTAACGAAATCTAAGAATTTTAAATTTTAAATAATTTTAAACCTTAGATGTCAACAAACATGCCAGGCCATTGTATTTCCCAAAATAGAAAGATCAACGCATTGTACATGAAAATGGCTTTTATTGTTCCTTGCCATTCGTGGAAGGAACATTAAAGCAAAGAACTTACGAGCTGCTCTCGTCTGGAAGGAGCATGATTCAGCCCACCCATTGCGTTGCACTTTCCCAATGACATAGGCATACAGGGACACTCCATAATATGTGTAAGGTCTCAGGTGCTTTAGCTCAAAATGGATGTTATTCCTGGTTACATTTTCACATGTTTCTAAAATTAAAAAGAAAAAAAACACAATTTATTATGTTTCTGAAAGTCAGGATCCCTATACAGTGCATATAACTTGATTTTAACATTAGATCATTCCAGGCGAACTCCAAATACTGAATAAATTTATATAGAAAGACAAGTGCCACATATTGTCTTTCCCTTGTGTTCCTGGCTCCAAATTTTTAGAGCTGGAGTGACTGCAGGAACAAGGGGAAGACAAAGGGATTGGGGAGTGGGTTCTAGAGAGGAAGCAGCAGGGTAAAAAGGGAGGGAGGAGGATATAAAACACTGAGGATGCTTCTAGAAGACACAGGTGACCATTACTTTATATTTACCCGTAAGTTGAAGGTAAGTCCCTGTTGCCAATGACACCACATAATCCATGGGCCATGAGAATGAGGAAAGATCTGATGAGAAGTCAGAGCACTCAGTCTGGAACAGACCTGGAAACCTACTCTCTGAGGACCGGCTTTCATCAGAAGGTGATATGCAAGCCACCAAGGTATGAAGACCATCGACCATTCTACCTAGCTGTGGCGTCTTTGAACCACAACAATGACCAGCACAGCAAGTCATCCCTAAGGACATGATAGTGGCACTCCTATCCTGGAAGTAAACACGAATCTAGAGGAATGAGAGGTACTAGAATCTAGAGGGACACTCCATCTGGCACTTCCCTAAATGAGCATTCCACCTAACTGAATTCTAAATACATATTGTAATGCTCAAGTAAGTGTAGCTCTTATGCCTCATCAAAGCAACTTCTTTCTGTGGCCGATGGAGACCGTTGCAGACAGCCACAGCTTGTCAAATAGCAGAGAACAGCTGGCTGTAGAGTGCTTCTCTCCAGTTGGTGCATCAACAACCCAATGGGCAGGCTGAAAGCCTGTGAAAGCCAGAGGAGCAAGAAGTCTGCTGTGTAATTGTGTCTCCTAGCTACGACAGGAAGCCTACACCTACGAAATTTCAACAACACAGCTACCCGATGAGACCTAACAATTCCGTCCACAGCTGACATCCACACCTCATCAGGCCCAACCTTAAACAAAGAGCTACAAGCTATTAGCAACTGCTGAGCTCAGGGTAGTCCATCTTCCCTCGGGATGATACTTTCAATCGATTACCTGGTACCGAGTGATCTGCAGGCAACCCTGAATGAACTCAGCAGGCTGGGATTTTATGTTTATTCATGTATGTGTATATGTAGCAACAATTAAAGAGTCCTAGCATTTAAGAATTCTTGATTTGTCTTCCTTTGTGAGAATCACATTTTACAAAATTACCTGAATTGGTCTTATTGGAACATAAAACAAATCCATGGAATAAACGTGAGGGGTAACTCCAAGTAACTAATATTGTATTCTCAGTTGCATTCCCACAAAAAACTCTCTCGGGCTTCTCTGGAGCTGTTTGAAGGGAAGAAAATGAAAAAGAAAAAAAAAAGTTACAATGGAAACAATAAGACCTGAAAAAATAGTATTTACACATCAAGCTGGAATCACTAACAGCCATCTTTTGACTGATCATGAACTGATACAGTTTCAGTGAAGTTCTTAGACTTATGCTGTTTCCCTTAGATTGATCTCTTTCATAGAGTATAATTTGCTCCAGTACAGCAGTAGGAAATCTAAACATCCCACTGATTGGAAGGATGCCTGAGAATATTCTCTTCTCACAGACACTGATGCTCATTTATTTTGGTATGTTGAGATGCTACTGTGAGAAATTTAATGGAATTAATGAGACACAATTTACATTCACTGGCACTTGCTTATGGTCTAGCTGGATGGGTTACGAGTTTATGCATCACAATATAGGATATTTCTACGGTCCTTCTTCTTGACAGACAAAACAAGTCCCCTTGAGACACCACATATTCTCTGGCCTACTTTCTAACTCTGTAGATTCAATGTAACTTTGTATTCATTATACATAAATAGAATTAAGCCGCAATATTTTTGCACAAATTATTATATATATATATATGTATATATATATATATATATATATATATAGAGAGAGAGAGAGAGAGAGAGAGACCATGGGTATTTTTTTATGCATCACGACTATGTCTTTTTAGTCATCATTTAGGCTACGGTTTGGATGTTGACTGCTACATGTCTTCTCGCTGTGCTGTTGGAGAGGTGAGGCCTAGTTCATCACCTTTAGGTCATTGAAAGCACAACCTCAAAAGGCATCACAGTTCCCCATTCTTGTCTTCTTCCATGACACACGAGATGAGTCGTTCCCTTCAAGATACATTCCCACCATTGTTAGCTGGTGTCCCTACCAGAGACCCAGTGCCTCAGGGACGCCCATCCTGGTCTTTGCAAGACTGGTGTTTGAAAACTCATGGTCTAAATGAATATTTTACATTTCTATGGTAACTGTCTCATTACAGTAAGGAAAGATAAGCAGTGTTCTTCATTAGTTTATGCCATATTTTCTCAATTATTAAACACTTGATATTAAACTTGTCTGGTTACCCTAAAGCTTAATTTGCTCTTGATATAGTTAATGTTAGTTTGGAATAGGAGTTGTCTTGGAATTGGGCAACCCTTTGTCCTCAGCAAGGAAAGAAATTATAGTCATGCTAGTACAAGACCAGAAAACCATAATGTATTTTGCGAAGTTAATTGCTGCTGTTGTTGTTCTGGCCTTCACACACTATCCTGGTCTCACTAAGTTGCCCAGACAAGCCTTCAACTTGTGATCACCCTACCTCAACCTGGCAAGCAGCTGAGCTGGTACATCTACCATCATACCTTTCCTACTGTTTCTCTTCCTTTCTGCCCATTGACGTATAAAAGTCTTTATTCTAGAAATGTCTTTTGCCTTTTGTCTTCTTCATACTTGATTATCCATTAGTCACCATTTTCAAAATTAACATTTACCAGCCAGTTTTAAATTTAGTTGGAATTTTTCACCTCTGTCTTTCCAAATGTTGTTAATTTCTTTCTAGAACCCTTTTCCATTTATTAAGCTTTATCTTGTTATTAATTATATTGCCAGAAAAAAAATGGTAGCCACAGTTTCTGTTTTTTATTAACCACTTAGATTTGCCTGAGTAATACTGGTCGATTTTCTTACTTTACTCTTCGCTCAGAAGCAGGACATCATTAGGGGGAGAAGTGTAGATTAAAGAATGTTATAAAAGGAAGGGAAGAGGAAAAGAAGAAAATGGGAATTATCCATATAAACTATTTCAACTATTTCCAGCAATCTTGCAACATACAAATTTGCACAACAGAAAAAGGACAACATTAGTTTTGTATAATTATTTATTTTTAAATTCACCTTAAAATTAATTTAATTTTTTTCTCTGATAACGCTTTCTGTGACTCTATAGCATTATTTGCTGTGATTCCCCAAATAATGTAAGCCCATAGAAGAAACAGAAATTTTATTTATCTTATAAATGTAAGTAATGTACTCACTCCCCAAATCCGTCATCCAAGTTGTTTTTTCTCTGAAAATCGTGGAGTTATTATAGAGGATTTCTACATCACATTTGTAATTTGTTTGGGGTGTGAGACCAATTAGCACAATTTCCTGAGAATCTTTTGGAGCATATATTGAAGCACCTACAAGAAATAAGTATTGCATATGAGTATATGAAATGATACAGTGTGTAGACTTCTTTCCTGACACCATGTGTTTCAGACTTAATGTTGGAGTGAAACCTCTGCAAACAGTGGACTAATAATCCCAAGGTACTGCAAATAGCTTAACGTTGCTACCCTTAACGTTGTTGAGAAACCATGATCACTCCTCATTTAGCCTTCACTTAAGCAGGTTTTCTTTACATTTTTAAAGATTCGTAGTTCCAGCTTTGGACACACTGCTTGTTGAACAGCCCAGCGTCTCTGCATTGGCATGACGACAACAGTCGGGGTCATACTTTCCTTTTCTGCACACACATCTCTCTGTCTTGCCAAGAGGCTTGATGCCAAGGGGAAAAAGGGTCCATGCCATTAAATTCAAATATATTTCAAAAGGAACTCTACTTCAGTAGAAACCCAAGTTCATGCCTAGAAGCACTTGCTTCCTTGTTATATGCATATTCTTGAATGTGCAAATGATTTTCATTGATGGAAGTCTGAGAAAGTAACCTCTGGATCTATATATCATGCTTCCTACCTACAGAATATGGACATAATCATTCTTTTATAATTTCTTCATCTCGTCATCCTTTCAATGATGTATGGTATATAATAGTAATCAAGAAAATTATTTCAATTGATTTTGATTGTTTTTCAATAGTTACCATCCATGGTTGGGTTTTTTTTTTTTTTTCATTTTTCTAGTTTCTGAATTTATTTCAGTTACTGATATTGGAATTATTATATTCTAATTTTACCACAGACTACCGAGGGTTAGGGGAAGAGGGCATAGTTGGAATAGCTTCAGAGGACAGAATTCCTCTACTCAGTATCTTACCTTTATCACACTGAAATCTGTATGAAATTTTGTTGCGGTCACAGCCAAATGTGTTGTTAAAAGTCCACCGCAAACAAAGCGTAGTATTAGCGTATATTTGATCTGTGCAGTTATTCAGGACAAAATTCTCAGGCCCTGTTAGGAAAACATTGGAATGCCCTTAAGTGACTGCTCATGGTGTGAAAGTGTGCCACTCCTCAACTAAAGACCCTGATCATAGCCATGAAGTCCAGGCTGGAATGTATGGGTCTGCATTGGGAGAAGTCCACTAACTCCCAGGGCTTTGTGCTTCTTAGGCACTTAGTTCACTATCCTAAGTTTTAGGTTTTTGTTTCCTTTGTTTCAGTTGACACGCAATTCTACAAATTTGTATACAATAGGGTGTTTGGATGCATCTATACAATATGCATTCACCAATGACAGACAGTCATCTAACACCTCAGACATTCCTCACTCATTAGGGAAGACAACATATCATTCCCATACTATATATTTTAATACAAATGTGTGCTTATTTTCAATAGAATCCATGCCACTTTTATAAATGAAACTCAAGGAAGCAATTAGATAACATAGTTGAGTTTTTGCATTTGAAAAAAAAATTTCTTGGGAGTTTGATGCTTGTCTGTTGATCTATTTTGGGTTTTGGAGATAGGGTGTTATTTTGCTTTGTACCTCAGGCTAGCTTGGAATTCACTATGTAGACCGGGCTGGCTTTGAACACATAGAAATACTCCTGACTTGACCTTCCACATGCTGAGAATACAACTCTGGTATTAACATAACTAGAACTCTCCCCTTAGTTTTTTCAAAAAACATTAGATGTTTAAGTTTGTTCTTTTTCCTAATATACACAAGAAACTTCTGGAGGAAGAAAAAAAGGATGACATGAACATTTTAAATTTAAAAAGGAAAACCAGGAGTCTCATGTATAATTACTTCACTAAATAGACTGCTTTTAATCTTTTAATCTTTTTTTGTTGCTATTTTATTTTCTGGTTTGTTTGTGTGTTTGTTTGTTTGGAGACAGGGCTTCTGTAGCCCTGGCTATTCTGGAACTTGGTCTGTGAACTAGGTTGGCCTTGAACTCAGATCTGCCTACCACCAAGTGCTGGGATTAAAGGTGTGCTCAGGTAGGAACCTTTCTGTTCCTAGACCAAAATACAGGCAGATGACAGCCCTCAAGAGTAAGTGTGTATTTCTTTGTGCTCTCCAGGGCTCTCAGCAGGGAGCTAGTGCTTATCAATACTGACTTGCTTTCCCTAGGTTCTTTTCTCTAACCACATCAGCCCCCAGGGGCACCCCATAACCTACACATGAAATCACATTTTTGTTCTAAAGACACAGATAGAAAGAAACTGGTATTCACCTGGTGGTACATCTAATTCTATCATTTTATTTGGAATACATGAGCCATTCGACACATTGAAATATTCATGTGAGCATTGTCGTAGAGTTTCAAGCTTTTCACAATCCACAGCTTCACATTTAGGGTTCTTTTCCCCTGTGAGCTCTGCCTCAAAAGACTTATTACTACTGTTATAGTGGTACTTCACAGTAATGTTTCCAAATTTTTCATCTGGAGAAAAAAAAAAAGAAAATTAGTATTATCACTATTCAGAATGAGTGAGACTGCATTGGATAAGAATGTATTTACATATATATATATATAACATATATATATATATGTGTGTGTGTGTGTGTGTGTGTGTGTGTGTGTGTGTGTGTGTGTGTATGTATGTATGTATGAGTCAACTTCTTAAGTATGCAGCAAATAGAAGTAAAAGAAGAACAATAATTAGCAAACAATGGATAAAAGCAGCAGATAAGACAACACAATATCACCAAATCAGATTATAGATTATGGCACAACATTCCTCCAGGAGTGTGTAAAATATAAGAAACGTATCATGTGCCCCTATGTCATTACTTCATAATTTCCCTTTCCTTTGAAGGAACCCAGTTTATGCTCAGATGATTACTGGGATTGACATCTGTCTTGCCTAAAAACTGTAAAGTCCACGAGAGCCAAAACTAGTCTATTTTCATCGTTGTTATCATCAGCTCTGGTCCATGATAACATCTCTGTCTTTTTATTAAAGAGCATTCAATAATTACTTGTTGCATTAACAGACACATGAGTTTATCTGGTGCTGAACTCATATGAAAAGAAAAAGTCCTTCTTTCTTTTACAACTATCCTTGTTTTTTTTTTAAATGTCTTTATCAGTCATTTAATTCTCCCATCATGAATTATTCAGAGACCATAAGTTCTCACTCATTGCATTACATATAAAATGTTGCTATGCATGATAATAATGTGTCCTTCATAAACCCTTTTGGTTAGTTTCAACAGTTGCTACTGACTGGTAAAATTTTCTTTTAAAGAACTGTTAATTTACATACCCATGTTTAAATGTTTCCTGTGTGTATGTGTTTGTGTGTTTGCATGTATGTGTACATGTAGGCATTCATCTGTGCATGTATGTGAAGGAATGCACATACACACGTGTGCGTGGCTATGGATGAGTGTGGATACCAGAGATTAACACCAAGCATCTCCATCCATTTCTCTTGATCTAAGTTTATGAGACAGCGTCTTTATCTGATTGGTCAGCAGTATCAGGCCAGCAGCCCTAAGGAGCCTCTTACCTTCACCCCAGAAGTAGGATGACGAACCGGCCACCAAACTCACCTTTTTACATGGGTATTGGGAGTCAGATCTCATGTCCCCTGGTTGTGCGGCAAGCATTTTACCCTAACCTTCACTGGCCCTATTTAACAAAACTGTGTGTCCTTTGTCTTAACTACTAGGAGTACAAAGACAAATCAGATGAAATTGGCTTTTAGAAGGGGGAAGTATTAAATCGAGATGGACATACTGAATTGCAAGAGCTAAGCAAGGACATAAAAATAAGATTAGACAAAAAAGAAAGGAAGGAAGGAAGGAAGAAAGAAAGAAAGAATACAAGAGCAACATCTACTCAGATTAGAGGGAAGGAAGGACTCCGGATGACTTGGACTGATTTTTCAAGTATGAGCAAGGTGTCAGAAAACACATGCGGACACCAGAAAGGGGGGATATGGAAGGACCCCAAAGGCAGAGGAAAATAAAATCAGGAGATACGCAGTCAGGAATAAATACGTCAGCCCCATCTGACTCCAGGCAAGACTGTAATTAGTGAGGAGGAGGCGGGGATACAGAGTGGGAGGAAAGGAACTTGAACTTGAGAGGACATGTTAAGGAAACAAACCGAAGGAGATTGACCTTGCCTCTGGGTGAATGGGGGACCTGACTGCGGTGCTGAGATCCAAAAGAATGTGGAAGGGTAACACTGGTGATGGAGAAGGACCTGGCTTCCACCACGAGGGGACGGAGACAATGAGAGACAGTGAGTCTTAAGACACAGAGTTGCCCATAAGAAAGGGAAGCAGTGCGTGGAGTTTGAAAGCTTGGAAGAAAGAGAAATGATTCAAGTACTGTCCCCAAGTGGCAGAGGCTGCCTTTGGGTCAACAAACTCACCACATGATGGCTTGGATGGAGTGGTAGCTGCAACAGAGATTAAAGAAGAAAGAGAAGTCATTGGCACGCTACCTTAGAATGTGTCTGCTGCGTTCATCTTAGAGAATCTGCCTCATAGAGTTTCCAGTTTAAGGAAAGTCTACATGCTTAGGCTTAACACGCAATGCATTTTTGCTTAATGTCTTATTGTCACTCCAAACATGCAAATGTTATAAATTGAGATAACTACAAACTATCTTCGTTGAGATATATAATAAACGCGGCTGTGACTGTCACAATATGTGAACTTTTGGGTGCAAATCTGCTGTCGGCATTGTGGCAGGAGCAAATCTAAAAATTGCCAAAATACCTTCATTCACTTTGTTGGTCCCCAACTACATTTCCAACTTTAACTCCCATAAAGTGATGTTGTGGGTTTTTTGTTTGTTCGTTTTTGTTTGTAAATCAGACAATGTTAATAGTTAAGGATTGCTTTGCTTTCAGGCTTAACCTCTATGTACTCCAGAGTAACTGACTGACCTCACAGCCGGCGATTATCTTGTATTAATATATGCATTTAACTCCGTGGTTCTCAATCTTCATAATGCTGTGACCCTTTAATACTCAATCCCTCATGTTGTAGTGACCTTCAGCCATAAAATTATTTTCATTGCTATCTCATAACTATAATGTGCCTGTTGTTAACAATCGTAATGTAAATACATGATATTTCTGATGGTCTTAGGTGACTCCCGTGAAAGGGTCATTTAACCACCGATTTAACAGAAAAGGTGGGAGTCTGGGTCCACAGAAGCAAAAGGATTTCGGCTAATCTTCTCCGAGCTGGGAGACTCTGGGGAGAACGATGGGCTTGTCAGCACTGGCTTCCTGCCCATATGCAATGTCATTACCACACATCTTCTAGAAGGTTGTCTCACCTACAACTTCACACCCCTCAGTATCTGACTACAACTGGCATCAGTCCTCCACCTCTCCTCAATGGAAAGGGTAGTCGGCTTTGATAAAATTACTCATCGTACACTGCATCTGCTCTTCAAATACAGTCTAACAAATTTGGCTGTTGCTCAACTCTTGGTAGGCTTGACAGTGCTATACCCTACTGGCCTCAGCCACACGTGTGCTGCAGCAATGTCTAGCTTCTGCTCTGTGGCCAATGGGATTATAACTTGAGACCCCACGAAGAAGACAGCCTGAAGCAGAGAAAGCCAGAAAGTCTGTGGTGCCTGGCATGCCTAGAAGTGGCAGAGGTGTGCCTGCATGACTTGGGGGGTGGGTAAGGTAAGGTTGTCACCTGTTGTTACGTTTGCAAGGACACTGTTTGAAACGTTCTGAGTGGTTGGTGAAGTGGATGTAACGTTGTCACCTGTAAGGAAATAGATAAAAAGGCGGAAGTAAATGAGCTGATTATCTTGAAGCTAATTTGCTAAGTGATTCTTCCCTCGTTTGAATAGATATTTTGCAAAGTAACAAAGTGAGCCAAAGACTTATATACAAATTGGTTCAAATAACACATATTTTAGGGAATTGTAAATATTACATCACAACTTAAAAGGCAAGTTATTCACTCCTTGGTATAATTCTTACCTGCAAGATAATTTTCCTAAAACTGGCATTTTCTGTTGAATTATAGCTCTCCTTATTTAGATACTAATTAGACCAGTAGTTGCTTTTCTTACATTCATTACATTAAACCTGCTGCATGTATGATATTCAAATCAATTTTATGAAACAAGTTTATGAAAAGAAACCAAAGTACTTGTCCCAGACTATCTAGAAAATTGAGGTAGTTGGATTTGGCCCCAGAGCTACTGGCCGTTAATGAATATAATCCACCGCTTTGTTGTGAACTTTGCAAAACAGCATTTATCCCCAAAAGCTTCCTCGTAAGTTTCTTTTGCCTAACTGCTTATCAAGAAGATTAAAACAAAACAAAACAAAAAAAATATGGGAAATCTGAAAATAATATCTGGAATAAAATAAGAGCTGCATTCAAGTTGGGAGCCTTCACCTTCACAGCCTAAACCGTATAACCAGGTAATTGTCACACCTGAGGAGACATCTGTGATGCTGACGTTGGAGATGTGTGTAGGTAAGGCAGCAGAGCTGTTGCGTGCGAGGTAAAGGGTATCTTTAGGAAGGGCTGTGTCTGTAGGAAATGTCCCCATTGTAGTCATCTCCCCTGGCACACCTGTAATCAGAAGGGTCACCAACACTGTCACTCCACCATGTCACACGTTGACATGGATGTGATTATGGAACTAAGGCAGAGCAGCGAGCTGTCTGTTATACCTACTGCAGCACAATATCTAGCCAGACCCTAATTATTACCCTAACCCATCCCATAGTCCTAATTCCAGAGACTGGGCTATCAATAAGAAAACTTGCGGAAAGATGAATTCAGAAGCAGACATGTAGAAATCTGTACATCTCAGATGTACAAACAAACAAGACAGTTGGGGCCTTTGGGAAACAACTTGGATATCCAAAGGAGGTCCAATCTCCCAGTCAAGTGCTGCTCTAGGTGGTATAAAAAAAAAAGTGTTTCAAAGAGAAGAAAAGGGTGCTGTCTTGGAGAAGCTAAGGCTATATAGACTAAGCACAAGCCTGAATATAAAGGGTTGCACCTTTAAGGTTGGACAGGAAGAAGTGTGGCCTGGTACTTGCTTAGAGTCTCAGGTGGCTGCGCAGTTCTGCGGAGGGAGGCCCTGTGTACAGGTGCTGAGCATCAATGTCCCTGAAATTGAGCTAAATGGCCTCCTGACTGTGCAGCATCTGAGCCCAAGACTTTTCCTCCTTATTGGCTGCCGGTCACAATATGACATTTACTAAGAAGTCTCCCATGCCAGGAAGACATCAACCTGGTTTTATATCAGCACACAGCCCATTATGCTGACATAATCCCCTTATTTCCCAATTGTTGGCGGCGTTGAGTGATGTAGTTAAACGAGCTGCATGTCCTGCTTAGAATTTCACTGTCAGGCTTCAGAGCAGTCTATGCCTGTTACATGTTTCCACCATACATCACAGCCAGAACTCGGGAAGAGGCGATTGCCCGTGAGAAGACTAACACTATGCTAGCTGCCATGCAGAAAGCAAAAGAAGTGTGAGCCGGCTCCTATTGCGGGCAAGTTCAGCAATGTGAACTTAGCCTCACGTGTGAGGTCAGCATTCGCGTGTTTCCACGAATGGTGCTGTTTCATGGCGGCCCATGGCCTTTATCTAAACCGCTTTGCCGAGAATGTGCCAAACATCTCCCATTTGCAGACAAACTGAATCCAGGTGTGACCATCCACGTGGTCTGAGAAATGGCAGTGAATTTCCTTGCCCATTGAGTTTGTTCTGGGCCCACTCTTTAAAAGCCACTAAGCTCCCAGCTGTAAGTAAACCGTGGAGCAGAATGAATACAGGGAGCATCCATTCACTACTTCTGGGGACAATGGAAAGACAGAAGAGCAGGAAGGGTCATGCATTTAAATTTTCAGTTAGACACAAACTGGCCACCTGTGAAATCTCAAAAGCAACCGACTCTGCCTACTAGCCTTCTACCGTTCTTAGAGGGAGGTGACTATCAGTACAGCACTCTTCATATCTGTGCATGTCTAAAGGGCATGCAAACCTGGTGAGGCAGGCCTTTCAGCAACAGGCATGAGTGTGGTGAGGTCAGCCTGGTTGCTGAGTGTCTGGGTGTCAGCTCCTTTGACAGAGGGCGTCTGCGTGTCTGGCTGCGGGGAAAGGTGAGTCAGCGGCGTGGATGAAAAACCTGAGGTTAGAAAGTAAGATGGTTAAGTCTATCTCTGCTGCCCTCGGCAATTCAAACTCTCAGATAAGTACATGGAGAAAAGTTGCCCCAGTGCAATGTGATCCAATTTATCAAGATCTCGAAGTTTCCGGAGCAGCGAGGTGGCTCCTGAGTTCTGGTTTACAGATGCTTCGCCAAGAAGATGCACCTGTCCAGCTTAGTTCACTGACTTCTGGGTCCCCAAAAGCTTATTGGATTTCCCATCAATTCTACAGACTGAGACTGGGGTGGGGGTCTGCCTTTATAGACAGAACATTTGATCACCCTAGACTGTTCAAAAGGGCAAATTCACTGCCAGTATCGTGCAGCAACCTTTCATCCTTAGAATACCAAGGTCATCCCAGTTTCTGCAGAGACCTGGGACGCGTGATCACCTGAAAGATGGGTGTTCTCTGAGGAGTCAGTTCCTCTTTCAGAGATGCGTGAGGGTGTGAGTTGAGTGGTCGGAGCAGGTAAATGGTCACGCTTAGGCAGAGGAAGAGCCCTCTCTGTTGTGTTCAGTCCTGTTATGTTATGGGTGATGGAAGAGAACAAACATGTAAATCATGTCCCCAAATGCCCATTCACATGCAGGTACTAACTTCCCAACCCCACACACAGACACCAAGCTTATGTGATATATAGTACACACACACACACACACACACATGCACACATGTACACAGGCATACATGCACACATATACACACACATAAATATACATACACACATAAAAAATATGCACAGACAGAGAAATATATATGCATACACACAGATATCTGTATACTCAGGCACACACATATATGCCCACATGCACACACCCATACAATTTACACACATGCATATATATATATATATACATATATATATGTATGTATATGTATATATGGCTATAGATTTCAATTATTGGTACACATATAGATACAAATTATGTTAAAATAAAAATGAGGAACTCCTCTTAGCTCTCTTCCCATTTACTTATTGGGTAGCTACCCGAAGCAACTCAATTCAGAAGAACGAAACCCAGTAAGTAAGTTGTCTACAGGAACTCTGAAAAGACTTACAGGTGGAGAAGGATAAAGCCAGAAATGAACCATAGGAAAGTTAGAATTCCAAATGGAAAGAGGAAGGAAGAGAGGAAGGAAGGAAGGGAGAGAGAGAGAGAAAGAGGAAGGAAGGAAGGAAGGAAGGAAGGAAGGAAGGAAGGAAGGAAGGAAAGTCTAGATGGGCTGAGTCAAGCCTGAAACTCCATCCTTCAAAAGGCTGAAGCGGGGAATGCAAGTTTTAGGGGTGAACCTTTCCTCTTTAAATTATGGATCATAATTCTTACTTTCGTGCCAATCTGCTCATAACAGTTAGTGCAGAAATGAGGAAACTCTCGACAGCCTAAGGAGTAAACTACCACACCATTCCATACCTAGCCCTCTTCTACAACAGTGTCTTATCTATGGAACAGAGAGTGATCTAATATTTTGTAAAGGGAAATGGCAAGTTCAGGCTAAGAGGTTGGCGTGAACCAACCAGAGCATGCTGTGCATGGAGTGGTTTATGGAACCTCTCTGCCATACAAGGAAAACTATAAAATTCTATTACTAGACTCTGGAAAATTAAAGAATATGCTTCTGTGTTTAGCTCAAGGGTGGTATTTGTTAGTATTTGTGTAGTGCTTTGGCTTACATTTACTGTCAATTACTTACAGTAATAACCCAGTTTTAGACTATGTCAGATTTGCTGGCCTTGAAATGTGCTTTTAAATTATTAAAGCAGCCGTGTTTTATTGTATTCACTTACCTTCATAAGAAACGTTGTCAACCGCATGATTATTCGGGAAGTAAACATTTATAGCAAGGATTTAATTTCTCTTTAAACATCTGCAGGTCCCACTCCTCTATGATTTGGGGTTTAATGAATGTTAATGTACTGGCAACATCATTACTTAAATTTGCTTTTCTCAAAACTGAGAAGCTTTTGGAGAAAATGAATTGAATCATAGTAGGAAATTTTATAAGCAATAATACAAGGTATCTTAATATCAGACAACTCTCCAAGCATAATTGGAGAAGAGCAAATTACCCTTGAAGAAAATATTCTAAATTTAATTTTCAACTACAAGAGAACACATATTAAATTCTGAATGTAAACAAATTCCTGATCTGGTTAAGTTATAAACTGTAATGGTCTTTAAATAAATGTGAAATTGTTTTTAGGATTACCACTTCTTCCTTAATTCAATTCTTTTTGACTGAAAACAAAATTTTGAAACAATATATTCTGATCAAAGTTTCATTTCCATATCCAAATCTTGACTCATGTTGATTTATACACTTTTTTATTTATTTACAGTATTGAATTTTTAAGGGGGTTAGAAACTTGTCATGTCACTTGTTAACTTTAAGTAATATTAAAGTTTAATTAAACACAATAATATTCATATAATTTATGCTACCAAGCTTTACATTAGAAAGAATTGTAAGACCATATGAAAGTCAGGAGCTATGTAGTATTATTAACTTTCTTCAAACTTACTTCTTTGCCAAATAAATAAAAAATTTTATTATATTAAGTACATGATTTTGTAACAAAAATAAAACAGTAAAGGTTAAACATTGATTCTTACCATCAGTGGAGGAAGTGTTGTTCTCTTGCCCTGAAAGAAATTAAATTAAACAAATTTTTAGAAAGTTTCAGACTTAAAGCACAAACGTAATTATACACTGTAGATGTGTATCTATTTTCAGCACATTTTGTCTCAATAAAACCAAGTTCCCATTTTATTCTTTCTGATAGTTTTGCTATTCTGAAGACAGCTGCACGCTGACCTAATGTATTTAATGTATTCTCCTAAAGGAATAAGGAACAGGGAGTTTTCTCACAGTTTGGAGTTCCCTACGGGGGTGGGGTGGGGAATAAAAGGGAATATTTGAAGGTTGAATCAACATTTGTAAGACAGAAAATGAACACAAGGCAAAGCTAAGCTACAGGCAGGAAAATGCAAAGACTATAGGAAGAGAGAATGTTGATACTCTAAATAAGAAAGTGGCTTTGGGAGACAATTCCATGACCAACTCAGGGAGCCAACCAAGGGTTTTTGTTTGTTTGTTTGTTTTTGTGTTTGTTTGTTTGTTTGTTTTGCAAGCCTTTGGAACAGAGAAGGAAGAGGGAAGTAAAGGCAAAAGTCACACAGATGTTTCTACGCATCTCTGAGTTGCTGAAGACAGAGCGTGGACATCTTCATTGCCTGAAACAGAAAAGAAAACTCAGGAGAAAGAGGAGAGTTTGATATGGTGATGATTTTACGTGGAACCCTTCAGAAGCACCTGCGTGGAGCGTTCGGGACTCAAGCTACACATGACTGAAGGGCACAGATGGACACTGTAGCTCTGGGTGCGAAACAGATCCCCAGACAAAAGCCCACAACTTAAGTGAATGACAAGGAGAAGTGATTCCCATACAAGGAGAGACGTGAACAGAGATTGCTTCAAAAGGAGTTTCACGGAAATAATGAGGAAACGACGCAGATCGGATGGGTCTGTCACGACCTTACACACGTGATACGGGGAAGCCCTGTGAGTGTGATGGGAGCTGGGTCCAGTCCACGGAGAAAAGAGAGGCTTCCTCACAAGTCTTACTAAGTGGTAGCAGAAACAGTAGGCGGTGATTTTCCAAGAGAAAAGGGGCTGCTATGAAAAACGAGCAGTCCTCAGGAGGAAAAAGAGACTGGCTGTCCAGTATTTAAGGATAGTCAAGAGTTTTTCTTTTTAAGTAGAATAAATCTGAGAAATGCTTCTCCCCTAAGAAATACCATCAGAGCTGAGTACTTGTCACACATACATGTGTGTAAGTGTAAACAGACACATGAAACTACACATGGTTTTTTTTTCTGTGTCTTCTGTACTTATGTACCATAGTGCTTTCCTTATCAATGGGCATATCTTTTGAGCCACATATCAGGAAGTGATTCTGGCATTATGCTAATATCATAGAGTATATTTTTCACAAATAAAAATGACTATAATATCACTGGGTGACAGAATTAAGGTCCATCCATGACTGAGACATCGTTATGTGCTCATGACTATATTGTTTTGAAAACACATTATTTGAAAGACTGTCCCATTTCTTGTCTAATAAGCATGCACCTTTCTATTTCATCTAATTTCATTTCCCCTTCCAAGCATTCTTTTCCTCTGATACATTCCAATTTTCTTCCAAATTCACGTCTTAGAGTGTGTGGTTTGCAAAACAGATAAGAAGAAACAAAGTATTAATCTATCAGTAATGAATAGGCCACATTTTAAATAAGATAAAAAAAAATAACGAAGAACAAATTTTACAGAGTATTTTTGCATCAGTGTTCATGAGGGTCTGTAGTTCTCTTTCTTAGAGAAATCCCTTATATACACACCAAGAGAGAGAGAGACAGAGAAACACAGACAGAGACACACACAGAGGAAGAGAGAGACAGAGAGACAGACACACACAGTCACACACACTCACTCACACACTCACACACACAGACACACAGTCACACACACTCACACACTCACTCACACTCACACTACACAGACACACACTCACACACACTCACACTCTCTCTCTCTCACACACACACGTTCCCACGCATTTTGTCATCAGTTATAAACACCGCCATCATCTTCATTTATTCATCTGTGGACTCATTCTTCAGTTTTGATGCTGCTTTTTTGTAAAGTACTCCAGTGAACAAAGGAATGGAGCCTGGAGTCTCACAATCTTTGAGCACATGCCCAGAAAGATAACTATATCACAGTGTCATTCTACTTTTAATTTCTTCGGGAACTACCATACTTTTTCTTGTGATGGCTCTACTGGTTTTTTACTTCTACCAATGACCAAATGTTCACTGAAATCTATGTAAGTGTTTACATCATTTACTATGTATCTCCCATGTGAAGTGATATTACACACACACACACACACACACATATATATATATATCACTTATTTTAACTCAAATCTACCTAGTGAATACCAATGTTAATTGCATTTCCAAATATATATTGACATGTCTTTGGGAACAAACATAATTTCATGACCTTGTAAAAAAAATAATAATAACTTGTGGTCATTGTGACAAATATAGTATATAAAGAAGTTTAAAATATTCAAGTTGGCTTGAACATATGAAACCATAACTCACGCTATCCTATCTTTCTCTTGTGAGACATACATAAACTTTTCAGTGTCTAAAAATAGTTTGCTACACCCCTTCTCAGTGTCAGCGTGGGGTTCCTTGGAACTTCACTCCATTTTTAGTCACTTAAGTTTAAGAAGTAATTGTTGTTTTGTTGGTTTGGTGCCAGAAGTGATCATCTGCCATGATAAAGGCATGACCCTCTCTCTGAGAAGCCAATAATGCAAAAGGCAAATGCATTTAGTAGTCTGCTAAGACGTTTAAATACTACATGGCCCCTATTCAGACTGATGGCTAACAGCTGGCAAGGACTGTGTGTTATCACCAAGGGTGAGGAGATATTGTAGTAAGATATGTCTTATCTGCTACGTAATCACCTGCAGAGAAACCCTTGGATTTGACTTTACACACGGAGTAAACATGAAAGAGAAGCCAAACCCATCTGGTGACAGTTTTCAGGCGTGAGCTCACACGTAGACTTTGCAGGCCCTGACAAAGAAGCTGAGTATTTTCCTGCAGGTGGCAGAAACTCCATGGCCAGTGAATATGAAGGAGAATTTTAGAGAAGGTTGTACTACTCCACAGTTCACTGGGGAAACCATTGTGCTTTGTGGTACTCGCTTATCAGCTTGACGCCGCCATAACATGAAACACAAAAGCAAAGTATACAACAACTTATCATATGCTCTTGATAGAAAGCTAACAATGAATGCAGGGTGTGAAGGCTCATTTGCATGTATGGTGGAGTAGTGTATGCATGTGTTCATGTGTGCGTAGGGACAAATGTGTGTGTGGGCAGATGGAAACCGCCCAGAGCTTTCTCTGGTGATTCTCCACCTTGGTTTTGGAGATAGGGTCTCCCTCTGTATTCATTGGATCAGCTTCCCCAAGGATCCTGCTATGTCTGCCTTCCCAGCACTAGGCTCGGAAGTAAATGCCACTGCACCCAGCTTGTTTGTTAATTTGTTTAACATGGCTGCTGGGAATCCAGACTCACGTCTTTATGCTCATGGGGTAAGCACATTCATGACTGAGTTATCTCAAGCCCCTGTGCCTGTGTTTTTAACAAAGGCCTTTAGGAATCAGAGCGTACTGGCTGGAGACACTTACAAGTAGTGACTGTTCCTTGTACTGCCCTCGTGGGACCTGTCTCAAAAGGTAGAGTTAATTGAACCTAATCTCCTACAGAACTATTTTGGTGAAAAATTGGTAACAGACACAAATAGCCAAAGAGTCATGCTGAGCAGTAGAGCTAGGAACTGCATTCTGAAACTTGGTCACAGGTTAGCATCCATGTTTCTGATCTAGCCATGGTTCAATATTCAATGTCTCCCAAACCCTTTCATCTTTAGTGTGATAAAATTTAACATCCATGGAAAACTCATATTTTAAGCTAGGGCATGTTTTTATTTCTTCTCTGTTGATGTGTACTGTCTCTATGAAACTTTCTCAGGTCAATAGCACTCACTTATTACAATACAATGTTAAACTTCTCTATTCTGGAACCTTAGTAAAATACTACCACTTGCCTTTTACTTATAAAATATTACCTACAGAGACAGACAGACAGACAGACAGACAGACACACACACACACACACACACACACACACACACACACACACACACCTTAACCTTACTTAAAAGGAATTTCAGGACTTAAGAACTACTGTTAAGAGTCAATATAAGACCAAAATTACTTGTTTTGGTCACAAAATCCTTCCAAGCAGGTTTTAAGTATGAGTAGCACTATTATTCAACAAGATACACAGAATGAAAAAAAAAATTAACCTGTCAAAAAATCTTTTAGAATAACTCTAAATAAGTTTTTTAATTAAAAAAAAGAACCACTCCAAAGTATAAACTAATGACTTTAAGAAACTATGAATGCAGTTTACATACAAAGTATGCATGAATGTTCCCAGGCATTCCCTTGTCAAAACAAAAACACAAAACAAAAATGCTACAGATCTTAAAGTAGGAATGCAAGCTACCCTAGAGAAATAGACTAGTTACAAAGCCAGTATCGGAAGGCCATGCACCCCTATGCATACTCCATTTCAGAGCTTTTAAATATAGTAACAACTACCTCTGTGTTCATACCAAACAGGCCAGAAGGTAAAAGATTTCACATAAGTATTCCTAGAAGCTTGCTACTAAATATCTACAAGAGTTTGAGATATTTCTACCGCGTTTCTAGAATTCTTCCTAGATCGCCTAGACAATTATCTATTGTATTACCTGTGTTCATATTATCAGATTGCTATCAAAATTGTAAGTCCATACAACCTTCCAGGATCCTTATTGTTACACAGAGAGACCTGAAATGATTGGGTTTGTGAAGTATTTATTTAGTACATGGCCTTATCATTTGACTGAATAAAGGGTCACAAATTAACCATCTGGGGCCATGCAGAGCAAATGAGTCCAGGTACCATTCTGACATGTTCCCTGATAAACAGCATTCTCTGCCCT